AAACTACTTCAAAAATAAGAAGCAAGGGGGGCAAGATTCCTTCAAATTAATTACTTGAAAAACAAGACACATGTGGTCCCAGAGACTCTTTCAAATTCTTTCAGAAGTAATACAAAAAAAAAGATCCCCGAGACTCTTTCAAACTACTTCAAAAATGTATATAAAATTAACAAACTATATAACAAAAAAAAGTACTAGAAAATACGAACAAAAAATCGAAAAAAAAATGATAGCAAAAAACACAAAAAAAAACAAAGATAAAATCTAAAAACGGATACAAAAAATATGAGTAAAAAAAGAGACACAAAAACAAAAAAAAGTACTAGAAAATACGAACAAAAAATCGAAAAAAAAACGATAGCAAAAAACACAAAAAAAAGAAAGATAAAATCTAAAAACGCATACAAAAAATATGAGTAAAAAAAGAGACACAAAAACTAATACAAAAAGGGCAAAAAAGAAGCAACTTAAAAAAAGACAAAAAAAACTATGCAAAAAGAAACTAGGAGAAGAGACCAAAGAAACCGACAAAAAAGGCAACAAAAAATATGTGTGGTAGGAAGACGAGGAAAATGTGTGGAAAAAAAGACAAACAAAGCGAAAAGGGTGATAAAAAAGAGACGCAAAAAAAACATGAAGGAAAAAAAGGCCAAAGCAACAGAAAAGAAAGCTACAAAAAAAAGTGAAAAAAAAGTAGACAAAAATAATGAAGGCGAAAAAATAAGACAAAAAGAAGGCTGTACAAATCAAAAAGATCAAAAGAGTTGATATGAAAAAGACAACAAAAAAAAACACAAAAAAAGATGAAAAAAAGCCATAACAAAAAAAAGAGGAAAAAAGAAATCTAGAAACGCATACAGAATTACGAGTAGAGCAAAAACTGATACAAAAAGGGGCTAGAAAGGAGCGACCAAAAAAAACGAAAAAAAAATAAAAAAAAGGACAAAAAACGCTAGGAAGAGACCAAAGAAATCTACAAAAACTTATGACAAAAATGGCGAGGAAAATGTGCGAAAAAAGGCAAAAAAAAATATAAAAAAGTACACAAAAAGACATGAAGAAAAAGGAGATCAAAAACGTCAAAAAACTGACGAATATAATGAAGGCGAAAAAAAAACAAAACGACTAAATGAACGACAAAAAAGTAAGACAACGAAAGGAAGGATATACAAAAGAGGCAACAAAAAAAGAGAGACCAAAAGAACTGACATAACAAAGACTACAAAAAAGGGCTTGAAAAAAAACACACAAAAAGGGGAATAAAGGTGATAAAAAAAAAAGGAAAAAAAGCGGGATTATTGAAAAAACGGAAAACTGTGATATAAAATTATTAAAAAATTGAAAAAATTAAAGTTGAAAAAACAAAAAATTAGGAAACCGACGCATGGAACAACGGAAAAGTTGAAAAATAAAGAAAATGAAAAATTATAAATCAAGAACTTGAAAATCTGAAGAAACGAAAAATCGAAAAAAATTTGAGGGATTGAGGAGACGAAAAATTAAAAATTGAGAAACTAAAAAATCGAGGAATCAAAAATCGAAAAAACCACAAATTGCAAATCGAATCATTGAAGAAACAAAAAATTGAAAATGTTGGAAGTCGAGAAATTGAAAAATTTAACAATTAAAGAAAACGAAAAAAATTAAAAATTGTGATCAAAAAAATCGAAAAATTAAAAATCGCCAAAATGAAAAATTGTAAACTGAGAACTTGAAATACTGAAGCAATGAAATATCAAAAAGCAAAAAATTGTAAAAGTGAGAAATTGGAAAATAAGTCTAGAACTTGAAGAATTGAGGAGACGAAAAATTAAGAAATCGAAAAACGAAAAATTGCAATACTGAAATGATGAAAAACTGGGATATTGAAAAAGTGAAAAATCGAGAAAAAATCAAAGATTGAAAATTTGAAGAATTGAAAACACGAAAAATCACAAAATCGAAAAGAATATTGAGAAAATAAAGGAAATGAAAAAATCGGAAAAATGAAAAATAAAAGTCAACATGTAAAGATTGAGAGCCTGAAATATCGAAGAATTGAAAAAACGAAACATTGAAAAATTTAAAAGTCGAAACATTGAAAAATTGAGAAATTTAAAAAAATAAAAAAAAATGAAAAAACGAAAAATTATGATATCAAAAAATTACAAAATCGAAGAAAAAGGAAAAACGAAAAAGTGAGATATGAAAAGACGGAAAACCTGAAAAATTAAAGACCGAGAAAATGAAAAATTATAAAATAAGAACTTGAAAAACTGAAGAAACGAAAAATCGAAAAATCAAAAAACTTGAAAAATAAAAATCAAAAACTTGAAGAATTGAGAAGAAAAATTAAAAAATCGAAAAATTAAAAATTGAAACAAAAAAATCAAAAAAACGGCAAATCGTAAATCGAAATATTGAAAAAACGAAAAATTGTAAATTTTGGAAGAAGAGAAATTGAAAAATTGAACAATTAAAAGAAAACAAAAAAAACGAAAATGTGTGATATCAAAGAATTATAAAATGAAATAAAAAGGAAAAACGAAAAATTGGGATATAAAAAATCGAGAAAATGAAAAATTAAAGATTGAAAAGAATCGAAAAGAATATTGAGAAATAAAGGAAATGAAAAAATCGGAAAATTGAAAAATAAAAATCAACACAAGAGCATGAAAAATCGAAGAATTGAAAAAACGAAAAATTGAAAATTTTAAAGTCGAAACATTGAAAAATTGAGAAAATTGAAAAAGTTTAAAAAATGAAAAATTATGATATAAAAAAATTAAAATATCGAAGAAAAAGGTAAAGCGAAAAACTGGGATATCAAAAGACGGAAAAGCTGAAAAATTAAAAATCGAGAAAACGAAAAATTATAAAATAGGAACTTGAAAAACTGAAGAAACGAAAGATCAAAAAAATTGAAAAATCAAAATCAAAAACTTGAAGAATTAAGAAGAAAAATTGAAAAATCGAAAAATTAAAAATTGAAACTAAAAAATCGAAAAAAACACAAATTACAAATCGAAACATTTAAAAAACGAAAAATTCTAAATTTTGGAAGTAGAGAATTGAAAAAAAATTTTGAAAAATCGAAAAATTAAAAATTGAGGAAGTTAAAATTCGAAAAACCAAAAATCGAAAAAACGACAAATCGAAACATTGGAGAAACGAAAAATTGAAAATTTTGGAAGTCGAGAAATTGAAAAATTGAACAATTAAAAGAAAACGAAAAATTGGAATATCAAAAAATCGAAAAATTAAAAATAGAGAAAATGAAAAATCGAAGATTGAAAATTTGAAGAATTGAATAAACGAAAAATCACAAAATCGAAAAGAATATTGAGAAAATAAAGGAAAAAAATCGAAAAAATGAATAAAGAAAATCAACATGTAACGAGTAAGAACCTGAAAAATCGAAGAATTGGAAGAAAAAAGAAGAACGAAAAACTGCGATATAAAAAGACGGAAAACCTGAAAAATTAAAAATCGAAAAAATGAAAAATTATAAAATAAGAACTTGAAAAACTGAAGAAACGAAAAATTAAAAATTGAAACTAAAAAATCAAAAAACCACAAATTGCAAATCGAAACATTGAACAAACGAAAAAACAAAAAAATTATGAAACCAAAATGAAAATTTTGGAAGCCGAGAAATTGAAAAATTGAACAATTAAAAGAAAACGAAAAATCGAAAAATTGTGATATGAAAGAATTGTAAAATCAAATAAAAAAGAAAAACGAAAAATTGGAATATCAAAAAATCGAAAAATTGAAAATCGAGAAAATTTGAAGAATTGATTAGACTTAAAATCACAAAATCGAAAAGAATATTGAGAAAATAAAGGAAATGAAAAATAAAAATTGACATGCAAAGATTGAGAACCTGAAAAATCGAAGAATTGACAAAACGAAAAATTGAAAATTTTAAAAGTCGAAACATTGAAAATTGAGAAAATTGAAAAAACAAAAAAATGAAAAACGAAAAATTATGATACCGAAAAATTTTGAAAAACTGAAGAAACGAAAAATCGAAAAATCAAAAACTTAAAGAATTGAGAAGAAAAATTGAAAAAGTGATATTGAAAAAATAAAGGAAATGGAAAAACGGAAAATTGTGACATAATGAAAATTAAAAATCGGGAAAATGAAAAATCAAAAAGGGATCGCCGAGATTCATTCAAATCACCTCAAAAACAATCATTACCGGTATTATTGGCTGCCGTTTCTGTTAAATCTATACAGGATCATATATTTAAAAAAACCTTCAAAATTAAGGTTAATGTTTGTCATCGTGAATAAGCGATTAATTTTGTGAACAAAAAAACACATTAGTCGTTAAAAAATACTCCCACTTGTTAATGGGACGCTGTTTTTGATATTAATCCCGAAAATTGCATACGGATATGTTTAAAAAGTGTCCTTGGCTGTATGTATTACATATTTGTCCAACTATGAAAAAATAAAATTAGATATTACAAATATCACATTTTGTGACCTCAAACGAAAATAAAATCTTTCCATTCGTCTGAAACTATTTATTCAAGATTGTATTGTTAACAAATCACATGACGACATCTTAATCAAATATTTTCCTCTTCAGGTTTTTTTTATTCCATCTATATGCATAATTCGATTAATTTTAGTCTTCATTTTGAGCAAAAGCATTAAGTAGCAGTTTGGTTTTAACAAAAATAATATGTATAGAGGTTATCGCGTGATAACATATATATTTAGTTTTCACGCCAAGCAAAATAGCAATTTTCCTCACTCAGCGGTAATTCTTATATTAATAATAATCAATAATTGCTGTAATAAATATTGCTATCATTGTTGACTCTGAATATTATACATCAACACTGAAATGCACTCTTATCGCTTTCGAGTGCTTACATCACCCTCTCGAGATCCAAACAATCAAAAACCCATCTCGCACTGTGCATATAATTTTCAAAATAAACCCAAAATATGTCACTATAATTGGCGCAGTCGGTAGGATCTAACCCTCTCCCTTCTTCCAGTCGTCGAAATCGGCGACGACATCACAAAATGCATCGACGACCGCACCCTAGTGATAGCCAACCACCAGTCCACCGGCGACGTTCCGCTGCTAATGTCGACCTTCAACCCCCGCAAACAGATCTTGCCGAACATCATGTGGGTGATGGACAGCCTGTTCAAGTACACCAACTTCGGCATCGTCAGCGTCCTCCACCGAGACTTCTTCATCATGTCGGTAAGTCCGCCCACCCCCGTCTCGCCCTCTCTCATTCTGTCGTCAAGGGTAAAGACAAGCGGGACAAGTCGCTCCAGGACTTCATCACGCACCTCATCGACACCTACATGCCGCTGAACCGGAAGTGGATGGTGCTGTTCCCGGAGGGCGGCTTCCTCAGGAAGCGGAAAGCGGTCTCGCAGCGGTACGCCCAGAAGAACGGACTCCCGCTGCTGGAGCACGTGTCGCTGCCGAGGGTGGGGGCGCTGCACGCCATCATGGAGACGGTGGGGCCGAAGGCCGTGGCTAACAATAACTCGTTCGGCGCGGAAGGTGAGTGGATTGTAAATCGGTGATAAAGTTTTCGGCGAAACCCAATTTCTTATCAGCGGCGACTGCTAAGTTGCGAAAGTTGGCATTAATTGGAAGTGTCGTCAGTGTTGTGAGTAATGCGATTCTCGACACATTTGCTGGGAATTGGCGCAATCTTATCTATTTTTTCTACTTCGCGTTCTTAACCGAGCTATTAAATAAAGTACTTAAGTTAAGTACACACTTTGATAGAACTGGTGTATTTAATTTTTATAAGGTTGGTAGTTGCAAATGTCAATGTCAAATAAATACAAAAATTGGTCGAAGGTCATTTCGGCGGTACTTCCCTCGCCCCTGAAGTGCAGCCCAATAAATCTGTGCAGAATTATAAAAATTTTCAATTTTAGATTTTTTTTTATTTTTTCTGTTTTTCGATTTACAATTTTGCCATTTTTTGATTTTTCGTTTCGGTTTTTTATTTTCTTCATTTTTTCAGTTATTCGATTTTTCAGTTTTAATTTTTTTCAATTTTTTGTTTCGATTTACAATTTTTCAATTTGTGGTTCTCGAGTTTTTTTTAAATTTTAATTTTTCAGTTTTTCATTTGTTTCTTATTTCCTTTATTTCTACCATTTTTAGGTGTTTTCAATGTTCTCATTTTATATTTTTTTGTTTATTCAGTTTCAATTTTTCAATTTTTTGATCGTGCAATTTTACAGTTTTTCGATTCATTAATTCTTTCGATTTTTAATTTTTCAGTGTTACGATTTTTCGTTTCTTAGTTCTCCGATTTGCAATTTATCCATTTTCCACTGTTTCGACTTTTAATTTTTCGATTTGTCAACTTTTCAATCAAAAAAATGGAAAAATTGTAAAATCGAAAAATCAAAAATGAGAACATTTAAAATGAAAACTTGAAAAATTGAAACGAAGGAATAAAAATTGAAAAACTGTAAAATCAAAAAAACGAAATTTTGTAAAATTATTACAAAATCGAAAGAAACGTTGAGAAAATTAAGAAAATGAAAAATCGGAAAATTGTGAATGAAATCGAGAAAATGAAAAAAAAATCAGAAACTTGAAATATTGGAAACGAAAAATTGAAAAATGGAATTTTAAAAATTGAGACGCTTAAAAATCGGAAAATGGAAAATTTTAATATCCAAACTTTGCAAATTGAAGAATTGAAACAACGAAAAAATGAAAAATTTGGAAGTCCAGATATTGAAATATTGGAAAAGTTGAAAAAAAAAATTAATAAACCGACTTTGAAAAGTGGAAAAATTGAAAAAATAAAGAAAATGAAAAAGCGATAAATTGTGATATCAAAAGATTATAAAATCGCAGAAAAAGAAACAATGAAATACTGCGGTATCAAAAAATGGAAAACTTCAAAAATTAAAAATCGAGAAAATGAGAAATCATATATTAAGAACTTGAAAAAATGAATCGAAAAATCAAAAAATTGAAAAATAAAAATGAAAAACTTGGAGAATTGAGGACGAAAAATTGAAAAACCGAAAAATTGGAATATCAAAAAATCGAGAAAATGAAAAATCAAAGATTCAAGAATTGAATAAACGAAAAATAAAAATCAAGAATTTGAAAAATTGAAACGAAATATTGAAGAATTGAAAAAACGAAAATTTGAAACAATTAGGAGACAGTGAAAAATTGAGGAAATTGAAAAAATAAAGAAAATAAAAAAGCGAAAATTGTGATATCAAAAAAATTGAAAAATTGAAAAATTAAAAATTGAGAAAATGAAAAATTATAATTTAAGAACTTGAAAAACTGAAGAAACGAAAAATTGAAAACATTAGAGAAAGTAAAAAATTTAGCAATTAAAGAAAATGAAAAAACTGAATATTGGAATATCAAAAAATCGAAAAATTAAAAATCGAGAAAATGAAAAATTAAAGATGGAAAATTTGAAGAATTGAATAAACGAAAAATTATAAAATTGAAAAAATAAAAATAAAAAAATCGGAAAAATGAACAATAAAAATCATGAACTTGAAAAATTGAGGAAACGAAAAATTGAAAAATTTAGAAATCCAGACATTGAAAAATTGAAAAAATTAAAGTTGAAAAAATAAAAAATTGGGGAACTGAAACATGGAAAAACGGAAAAATTTTAAAATAAAAAAAATGAAAAATTATAAATTAAGAACCTGAGAAACTGAAGAAACCAAAAATCGAAAAATAAAAAAAATTAAAAACTCGAAGATGAGAGGAGACGAAAAATTGAAAAAACCAAAAATTAAAAATTGAGGAACTAAAAAGTCTAGAAAATGAAAAATCACAAAATGAAAGTACTATTGAGAAAATAAAGGAAATGGAAAAACTAAAAATTGTGACATAATCGAGAAAATAAAAATTAAAAATCTGGAAAAAGAAAAATAAAAATCAAGAACTCGAAAAATTGAGGAAACGAAAAATTGAAAAATCGAAGTGTAAAAATTGAGAAACAGAAAATTCGAGGAATTGAAAAAACGAAAAATTGAAAAATTTAGAAATCCAGACATTGAAAAATTGTGATCACAAAATTATAAAATCGAAGAAAAAGGAAGAACGAAAAACTGCGACATCAAAAGACGGAAAACCTGATAAATTAAAAATCGAAAAAATGAAAAATTATAAAATAAGAACTTGAAAAACTGAAGAAACGAAAAATCAAAAAATTGAAAAATTAAAATCAAAAACCAACTGAAAAATCGAAGAATAAAAAAAATGGTAAACTAAAAAATCTAGAAACGAAAAATCCAAAAAAACGACAAATTGCAAATCGAGGCATTGAAGAAAGGAAAAATTGAAAATTTTGGAAGTAGAAAAATTGAATAATTCAAGAAAATGAAAAATCAAAAGTTGAAGATTTGAGAAATTGAATAAACGAAAAATTATAAAATTGAAAGGAATTTTGAGAAAATAATAATAATAATAATAATAATAACTTTATTTACGGAAAATGTCCATTACATATAATAAACTAACAAGTAATAATTCTAAGTACAAAGTAAAAAGCTTATGTGAACTAGACAATATTAAGATATAAACACAATATAAAAATTCAATATAGACTAGATAACTAATAAAATAAACGAGATATAAGGGCTATATAAAAAGTGAATTAATTGTCTCATGTCTAAATACATGTCTAAATAAGGGGAATGAGAAAACAAAATATTGTGTTTAGAAAAGAAATGAAAAAAACGGGAAATTATTACATAAAATCGAGAAAATATAAATGAGAAAATCGGAAAAATGAAAAATAAAAATCATGAACTTGAAAAATTGAGGAAACGAAAAAGTCTAGACATTGAAAAATTGAAAAAATTAAATTTGAAAAAAAAATTAAGAAAAACGGAAAAATTTTAAAATAAAGAAAATGAAAAATTATAAATGAAGAACCTGAGAAACAGAAAAAACGAAAAATCGAAAAATAAAAAAAATGAAAAATAAAAATCAAAAACTCGAAAAATTGAAAAAACCAACAATTAAAAATTGACGAACTAAAAAATCGAGAAAATGAAAAATCACAAAATGAAAGTATTGTTGAGAAAATACAGGAAATGGAAAAACTGAAAATTGTGACATACAATCGAGAAAATAAAAATTAAATAATCGGGAAAATGAAAAATAGAAATCAGAAATTGAAAATTTGAGGAAACGAAAAATTGAAAAATCGAAATATAAATTGGGAAACTGAAAAATCGAAGAATTAAAACGAAAAATTGAAAAATTTGGAATTCGAGATATTGAAAAATGGAAAAAATAAAAGTTGAAGAAACAAAAAATTATCAAACATTTAAAAGTGAAAAAATTTAAAAATAAAGAAAATGGGAAAGCGAAAAACTGTTATATTAAAAAATGGAAAAATTGTAAAATTAAAAATCGAGAAAATGAAAAATTATAAATTACGAATTTGAAAGTGAAGAAACGAAAAATAAAAATCAAGAACTTGACAAACTGAGGAGACGAAAAATTAAAAATTGAAAAACAAAAAAATCTAAAAGCGAACCTTGAAAATTTTAAAAGTCGAGAAATTGAAAAAATAAAAATCAAGAAAATGAAAAATCGCAAATGATGAGCTTGAAAGTGAAGAAACGAAAAATAAAAAAATTGAAAAACAAAAATAAGAACTTGAAAAATTGAGGAGACGAAAAATTTTAAAATTGAGAAACTAAAAAATCGAAAAACGAACATCGAAAGTTTTGGGAGTCGAGAAATTGAAAAATTGGAGAATTAAAGAAAACGAAAAAATTGGGTTATCAAAAAATCGAGAAATTGAAAAATTAGAAATCGAGAAAATGAAAAATTGTACAAGTGGGAATTTGAAAAAAAATCAACAATTTTAAGAATAATTGAGAGGAAATTAAAAAATCGAAAAACGAAAAATTGAAAAATTGCAAATCGAAATATTGGGGAGACGAAAAATTGAAAAAATAAAGAAAAAGAAAACAAAAATTGTCATCTCAAAAAATTGTAAAATTGAAAAAAAAAGAACGAAAAATACCAAAAAATCGAGAAAATGAAAAATTATAAATTAAGAACTTGAAAAAATAAAGAAACGAAAAATTGAAAAATAAATATCAAGAATTTGAAAAATTGGGGAGACGAAAAATTAAAAATTGAGAAACTAAAACTCGAAAAACGAACGTTGAAAATTTTGGAAGTCGAGAAATTGAAAAATTGGAGAAGTGAAAAAAATTAAAACAGGAAAAAATTGGAATATCAAAAACTTTAAGAATAACTGAGGAGGCGAAACATTAAAAAAGTCGAAAAATTAAAAATTGAGAAACTAAAAAATTAAAGTTGAAAAAACGAAAAATTATAAAATCGAACAATGAAAAACCGAAAGATTGAAAAAATGACAAGAAAAAAAACAAAAAATTGTGATATCAAAAAATTGTTTAATCGAAGGAAAAGGCAGAACAAAAAATTGCGATATCAAAAAATCGAAAAACTGAAAAAATTGTAAATTAAGAACTGAAAAAAATAAAGAAACGAAAAATCGAAAAATAAATTTAAAGAACTTGAAGAATTCAGGCGACGAAAAATTGAAATACTAAAATATCTGAAAAGAAAAAATCGAAAAAGTGACAAATTGCAGATGGAAAAATTGAAAATTTTGGAAGTCGAGAAATTGAAAAATTGAAAAAAATATAGAAAAAAAACAAAAATTGTGATATCCAAAAATTGTAAAATCGAAGAAAAGGGAAGAACGAAAAATTGCGAGATCAAAAAATCGAAAAATTGGAAAAATGAAAATCGAAAAAATAAAAAATTATAAATCAAGAACTTGAAAAACTGAAACGAAAAATCAAAAAAGCAAAAAATTGTGAAAATGAGAAATTGAAGAAGAAATGAGGAGACGTAAAAAAAATTAAGAAACTAAAAAATCGAAAAATTGAAAAATTTGGAAGTCGAAAATCGAAAAATTGAAAAAATTAAAGTTGAAAAAACAGAAAATTACAAAATCGAAACATGAAAATGAGCAAAAAATAAAGAAAAAGAAAGAACCAAAAATTAGGATATCAAAAAATTGAAACATTAAAAATCGGTAAAACGAAAAATTGTAAAATAAAAATAGAAAAACTGAAGAAGCGAAAAACCAAAATTGTGAAAGTGAGAAACTGCAAATCGAAACATTGGAGACGCGAAGAATTGAAATTTTTTTAAATCGAGAAATTGAAAAATCGAAAAAATTAAGTTAAAAAAACGAAAAATTAGGATCTCAAAAACTTGGAAGAATTGAGGTGAGAGAGAAACTAAAAAATCGAAAAAACAAAAAATCATGAAACCGAAACAATGAAAAATGGAAAAATTTTAGAATTAAAAAAATGAAAAAACGAAAAAGTGTTTTAAACGAGTTTTACGAAATTGCAAAATGTTATACAATTTTGATTTTTTTTTCCAAAAATTTGGATGTGTAGGGTAAACATTCAACACGGATTCATAGACCACAAATGCGGGAGTATCATATTTAAAAAAAAAATAAAAACAAATTTAGAGTGGAGAGTCGGCCTAGGGACTAGAATACAACACATCGAAATGGTGTCTTTAATTGGAACTAAACTTTACCATATTTTGCTGAAAATAACTAACCTTTAAACCTTTTACTGCCGTCTAATTCATTTGACTGGAATATGTAATATGGAGCGACCGGACAAGGTTAAATTTGGACACTATTGGACCCAAACATGTAGGCAGCTAGTTTGGGTAATTCCCCGGGTTGCGGGGGCGTAACATTTTCTTGAGCTTCACACATTATTAGTAATAATTATTTATTATTGTGAAAATTTTATCTTCGACCACCACGACACAATTCCCCAAAATAAAAAAACATTTTTTGTTTTAAAAATTTCAGTGTCCACCCTGCAGTGGATCCTGGACATAACGGTGGCCTACCCCCGTGGGGAGCCCATCGACCTCGCCACCATCGTGTTCGGGTGCCGCCCCCCGTGCCGGACCACCCTCTTGTACCGGCTGTACCCGTGCCGGGAGCTGCCCCAGGACAGCGAGAGCCTGACGAAGTGGCTGTTCGACCGGTGGGAGGAGAAGGAGCGCATGCTGGAGTGGTTCTACCGCACCGGGGAGTTCCCGGGGGACCACGGCGAGGGCCAGCTCGTCGAGCAGGACTACTTGCGTTACGTCATCCTGCACCTCTTCTTCATCTTCTCGACGTATATCCACGTCCAGATGTTCCAAGCAGCTTACCACTACTGCAGTTATCTGATTTACTAGCGCTCCGTTCTCGCATATCTGATCTGTCTGGTGCGGTTGTACCTGTGACAGGTCGGCGAATATGCGAGCTTTTTCGTTTTTCTTGAACACTACCTACCACCGAGGAGGCTCTGGTCGGAGATCGCGCAAAGACGACTGTGATTCGGTTTTACGGGCGAGGCGTGATGCATTCCAAATCGAGGTTGAGAGAAACGAAAATTTTGCACGTACTTAACGAAAGGAGGTTTCGTAAGTCCGAACAATGGGTAACTTATAGTAATAATAAGGAACAATCTTGCCTTTGGGTGTTGTTTTTTTGTTTTACGTAATCATAATGGTAGATTTTGTACAGTAGATTAGGACCAATGTGCATTTCGTATGGTTTCTTTCTGGTTTTTTTCACGGCGAAATTATGAGGCTCAATCGTTGACGTCCATTTTTTATCAAAGTTTAACACGTTTCGATACTTTTAGCACCGCACTCATCTCGTTTCCTTTTTTTTTTAAGTCGCTTGTTGTTTTAAATTTTTCAGGGTTAACTTATTATGTATACATATTTTTGTAAATTTCAAGTTTCTTTGTAATAAAAAAGAAGTCGAACGTTATGGTCGTTTTATTTAGCCTTATTTACACCACTAAAATACTCGTCAACCAAACAACCCGCAACTGATCACACTGCAAAAACTCCTAAAAACACTTTGATAGTTAAACACACTCCAAAAATTTCACACTTTACCTGTTTTGTAATTCGGGATTTTCCGTCTTAGCACCGGTCTTAGCTTGTTTTTGCTTTCGATCTTCCTAAAATCAACTTTTTTTTTTTGGATTTTAACAATGAAGGTCATACTTCTCGGAGTTCCCCTATTTTGTATTTTTTTAAGTCTTTTTTCGCATCTCCCGAGTGTCCAGCGTCGTCGAAATCCTTAGTCCCATCTTTGCCAGCCCATTCTTGGATGAGGTCGCCCCCACCGGGATGCTAATAAATAATAAAAAAATTGGTCGAAGATTATTTCGGCAGAACTTCCCTCCCCTTTTTTGCTTGAATTTTTCAATTTTTCAGTTTCTCGATTTGCAATTTTTCGAGTTTTCAGTGTTTCAATTTCTCGTTTCTGCAATTTTTTTGGTTTTTCATTTTTTTGTTAGTACTTGCTAAGATAAGACTGATTGTAGCAAATCACATATCCCCTAAGAAGAGAGAGGGCGGGTGGGCGGGCCTAGTACATGCTAAGACAAAACTAATTTTGGCAAATCACATACCCTCTAAGAAAATAGAGGGTGGGTGGGCGGGGCTATTACTTGCCAAGATAACATTGAATAATAATGAGAGTAGTCTCTGGAATGAAGAGGGGGTCACTCAGCTCCGCCCACTCTTGTCTCCATTTCACTGACTTATTTTATTTACTGTAAAATGTGAATTGAATTCTCTTTTAACAAGCCGTAGAATCTAAGATTTAAAACAAATTAAAAAAGAAATTGTAAAAAGGAAAAATTGCGATATGAAATCGAGAATATGAAAATTAAAAATTGAAAAACCGAAAAATTAAAAACGAGAAATTGAAAACTCGAAAAATGAAAAATTGTAAAATCGAAAAACTGAAAATGAAAGAAAATGAAAAAACGAAAAATGGTGTTGTTAAAAAATCGAGAATTTGAAAAATTAAAAATCGAGAAAATCAAACATTGTAAATTAAAGACTTGAAAAACTGAACAAACGAAAAATCAAAAAATTGAAAAATTGAGACGAAGAATTAAAAATTGACAAACTAAAAAATCGAAAATAAAATTTTGTAATTGTGATACCAAAAATGTATAAACTTGAAAAAAATGGAAGAACGGAAAACTGCGATATCAAAAAGTTGGGAAATAAAAATCGAAAAATTATAAATCAAAAACTTGAAAAGCTGAAGAGACGAAAAATTGAAAAACCGAGAATTCGAAACATCCAAAATTTGACATACTGAAACATCAAGAGATGGAGAAGTCGAAAAATTGAAAAATCAAAATAGCCCAAAACCGAAAGATCGAAAAATCAAAAATTTAAATTTAAAAAATTGAAGAATTGAAAAACTGGTAATCGAGAAATCAAAATACCGAAAAATTGAAAAATCTAAAATTTAAAAGATGGAGAAGCTGAAAAATAGAAAAATTGAAGAACCGAAAAACTGAAAAAGTGAAAAATCGGAACATAGAAAAATTGACAAAATAAACATAAAAAAGTTCAGAAATCTAGAAGTCGAAAGACTGAAAAGTTGAAAATTGAAAAATTTTAAATTAAAAAAAAAGAAAAGTTGAAAAATCGAGAAACTGGACAATCGAAACATCAAACAACTGAAAAATTCGAAAAATTGAAAATCGAAATAGAGAAAAATTCCAAAACTGAAATATTGAAGAATTGAAAAATCGAAAAAATGAGGAATTCCAAAACTGAAGACGAAAACTTGGGAAATCGAAAAATGAAATATCAAAATAGCCCAAAACCGAAAAATCGAAAAGTATAGATTGAAAAATTGAAATTAACAAAAAAAATAAAATTAAAAACCTTAACTTAAAAAATTGAAGACTGAGAAACTGAAAATCGAGAAATCAAAATATTGAAAAATTTCAAAATCTAAAGTTTAAACCTCTTTAATTTAAAGTTGAGAAATCGAAAAATCAAAAATTTTAAAAATTGAGGAATTGAAAAATCGAAAAATCTACAAGTCGAAAAATTGAGAAATCGAAAGGCAGAAAAGTTGAAAATTGAAAAATTTTAAATTAAAAAAAAGACAAGTTTGAAAAACCAAGAAATTGAACAATCCAAAAATTGAAAATCAGAATAATGGAAAATCCCTATACTGAAAAAAAAATTGAACAATCAAGAAGATGAAAAAATGAAAAATTGGGATATTGAAAAACCGAAAAATTGAAAATGAATCATTGTAAATTAAAAACTTGAAAAACTGGAACGAAAATTCAAAAAAATGTAAAAGTGAGAAATTGAAAAATAAGTCAAGGACTTGAGGAATTGAGGAGACGAAAAGTTAAAAATTGACAAACTAAAAAATCGAAAATGAAAAATTGCAAAACTTAAAAATAGCAAATCGAAACATTGGAGACGAAAAATTGAAAAAATGAAACTTGAATAAACGAATAATTATAAAGTCGAAACATTGAAAAACCGAAAAATTGAAAAAATAAAAAAAAAGATAACACCAAAAGTTGTGATTTCAGAAGATTGTAAAATCGAAGAAAAAGGAAGAGCCAGAAATTGCGATATCAAAAAATCGAAAAATTGAAAAAATAATAATCGAGAAAATGAAAAATTGTAAATAACTTGAAAAACTGAAGAAACGGAAATTGAAAAAAAATGATGTACTTAAAGAATTGACAAAAAATTGAAGAATCGAAGAATTAAAAATGGAGAAACTGAAAAATTGAAAAAACGAAAAAGTATGAAACCGTACATTGAAAAACGGAAAAAATAAAAAAATTGAAAAATTAAAAATCGAAATAATTATACATTAAAAACTTGAAAAGCTGAAGAAACGAAAAATAAAAAAAATGAAAAATGAAAATCTAGAACTTTAAGAAATGAGGAGACGAAATATTGAAAAATTAAAAACTGATAAACTAAAAATGGGAAACCAAAAAAATTGAAAATTTTGAAAGTCGAGTAATTGAAAAATTGAACAATTAAAGAAAATGAAAAAACGAAAAAAAAATTGGTATATCAAAAAATTGAAAAACTGAAAATGAAAAAAAAATGAAAAAACGAAAAATTCTAACATTAAAAATTAATCGAAGGTAAAATAAATCCAAATTTTTCAAAAAAGATTTGAAATTAAAAAAAACAGAAATTTAAATTTAAAAAATTGAAGAATTGAAAAACGAAAATCGGAATATGGAAAAATTAACACACTGAAACATCGAGAAACGAAACATAAAAAAATTGAGAAATCAAAAGATTGAAAAGTTGAAAATTGAAAAATTTTAAATTAACTGAAAAAGCTAAAATTTAATAAATTCGAGAAATCGAAAAATTAATAAATCCAAGAAAAATTGAACAATCGAAAAATTGAAAATCGAAATAGAGAAAAATCCCAAAACTGAAGACGAAAACTTGCGAAATCGAAAAATGAAATATCAAAAGATCGAGAAGTTGAAAAAGTGGAAAATCAAAATAGCCGAAACCGAAAAAATTTAAAAGTCTTTAAAGTTGAGAAATCTAAAAATCCAAAATTTAAAAAAGATCGAGAAACTGAAAAATCGAGAAATCTGGAAGTTGAAAAATTGGGAAATCCAAAGGTAGAAAAGTTGAAAATTGAAAAATTTTATATTAAAAAAAAGGTAAGTTTGAAAAATCAAGAAACTGAACAATCGAAAAATTGAAAATCGAAATAGAGGAAAATCCCAATACTGAAAAATTGCACAATTAAGAAGATGAAAAAATGAAAAATCGAAAAATTGAAAATAAAAATTGAGAAAATGGAACATTGAAAATTGAATTAAAAACTTGAAAAACTGAACTAAGGAAAGATCCAAAAATTCTAAAAGAGAAATTGAAAAATAAGTCAAGAACTTGAAGAATTGAGGAGACGAAAAGTTAAAAATTGACAAACTAAAAAATCGAAAATGAAAAATTGCAAAACTGAAAAATAGCAAATCGAAACATTGGAGACGAAAAATTGAAAAAATGACACTTGAATAAACGAAAAATTGAAAAAATAAAAAAACAAAAATTGTGATTTCAAAAGATTGTAAAATCGAAGAAAAAGTAAGAGCCAGAAATTGCGATATCAAAAAATCGAAAAATTGAAAAAATAAAAATCGAGAAAATGAAAAATTATAAATAACTTGAAAAACTGAAGAAACGGAAAATCAAAAAATAAAAAAAATGTAAAATTGGGAAATTGAAAAAAAAAAGTACTTACGGAACTGACAAATAATTGAAGAATCGAAAAATTAAAAATGGGGAAACTAAAAAATCTAAGAACGAAAAATTGAAAAAATTGAAAAAATGAAAGTTGCAAAAACGAAAAAGTATGAAACCGTACACTGAAAATTGGAAAAAATAAAAAAAGTGAAAAATTAAAAATCGAAAAAATTATAAATTAAAAACTTGAAAAGTTGAAGAAACGAATACAAAAATGAAAAATGAAAATCTAGAACTTTAAGAAATGAGGAGAAGAAATATTGAAAAATCGGAAAATTAAAAATTGGGAAAACAAAAAATTGAAAATTTTAGAAGTCGAGAAATTGAAAAATTGAACAATTAAAGAAAATGAACAAACGAAAAAAAAAGTTGGCACATCAAAAAATTGAAAAACTGAAAATGAAAAAACGAAAAATTCTAACATCAAAAAATCGATCGAAGGTAAAATAAATCCAAATTTTTCAAAAAATTATAAGATTTGAAATTTTAAAAAACAGAAATTTATATTTAAAAAATTGAAGAATTGAAAAACGAAAATCAGAACATGGAAAAATTGACACACTGAAACATCGAGAAACGAAACATAAAAAAATTGAGAAATCTAGAGGTCGAAAAATTGAGAAATCGAAATATAGAAAAATCCCAACACTGAAATATCGAAGAATCGAAAAATCGAAAAATTGAGAAATTCCAAAACTCAAGACGAAAACTTGGGAAATCGAAAAATGAAATATCAAAAGATCGAGAAGTGGAAAATCAAAATAACCAAAACCGAAAGATCGAAAACTAAAGATTGAAAAATTTGAAATTAAAAAAAAATTAAAATCTAAATTAAAAAAATTGAGGAATTGAGAAACTGAAAGTCGAGAAATCAAAATACTGAAAAATTGCAAAATCTAAAATTTAAAAGTCTTTAATTTAAAGTTGAGAAATCGAAAAATCCAAAATTTAAAAGATCGAGAAATTGAAAAATCGAGAAATCTAGAAGCCAAAAAATTGAGAAATCGAAAGGCAGAAAAGTTGAAAATTGAAAAATTTTAAATTAAAAAAAAGATAAGTTTGAAAAATCAAGAAATTGAACAATCGAAAACTTGAAAATAAAAATCGAGAAAATTAAAAACTTGAAGAACAGCACTAACGAAAAATCAAAAAATTGTAAAAGTGAGAAACTGAAAAATAAGTCAAGAATTTGGAGAATTGAGGAGACGAAAAATTGAAAAAATGATACTTGAATAAACGAAAAATTATAAAGTCGAAACATTGAAAAATCGAAAACTTGAAGAAATAAAAAAAACAAAAATTGTGATTTCAAAAGATTGTAAAATCGAAGAAAAAAGGAAAGCCAGAAATTGGGATGTCAAAAAATCGAAAAATTGAAAAAATAAAAATCGAGAAAATGAAAAATTATAAATTAAGAACTTGAAAAACTGAAGAAACGAAAAATCAAAAAATTAAAAAAAAATGTAAAACTGAGAAATTAAAAAAAATGAAGTACTTAAAGAATTGACAAAAAATTAAAAATGGAGAAACTAAAAAATCGAAGAACTAAAAATTGAAAAATTTGGAAGTCGGGAAATTGAAAAATTGAAAAAAATTAAAGTTGCAAAAACGAAAATGTATGAAACCGTATATTGAAAAATGGAAAAAATAAAAAAATGAAAAACCAAAAAATAGTGATATCAAAAAATTATAAATTAAAAAAAGGAATAACGGAAAACTGCGATATCAAAAAATTGAAAAATTAAAAAATCGAAAAATTCAAGCTATAATTTAAAAACTTGAAAAGCTGAAGAAACGAAAAATTGAAAAATAAAAATCTAGAACTTTAAGAATTGAGGAGAGGAAAAATTGAAAAATCGAAAAATTAATAAAAGTTGGGGCACTAAAAAATGGAAAAACAAAAAATTAAACAAGACCTTGAAAAACTGAAGCAATGAAAAATCAAAAAAGCAAAAAATTGTAAAAGTGAGAAATTGAAAAATAAGTGTAGAACTTGAAGAATTGAGGAGTCGAAAAATTAAAAATTAAGAAACTAAAATATCGAAAACGAAAAATTGCAAAACCGAAATTATGAGAAAAATTGAGATATCGAAAAATTGAAAAATCGAAACATCGAAAAATTGAAAATCGAAATAGAGAAAAATCTCAAAACTGAAATGAAGAACTGAAAAACTGCAAAATCGAGAAGTCCAGAAATCGAAAAGTCATTCATTAATTTTTTTGAACCACCTGTTTAAGCAAATGTAAAAAATATGAATGCAATGATAAATCACTGAAAAACTGAAAAATTGAGAAATTCCAGAACTGAAAAGATCGAAAATGAGGAAATCGAAAGATCGAAAAGCAAAAAAAAATCAAAAATTTGAATTTAATAGATGGAGAAACCGAAAAATAAGAAAAATGAAGAACCGAAAAACTGAAATATCAAAAAATCGAGAAATCTAGAAGTCGAAAAGATGAGAAATCGAAAGACTAAAAATTTGAAAATTGAAAAATTAAAAAAAAAAAAGAAAACTTGAAAAATCCAGAAATTGAACAATCGGAAAATCGAAACATCAGACAAATCAATAATCTAATATTTAAAAGTTCGAAAAATCGGAAAATCGAAACATTAAAAAATCGAAATAGTGAAAAGTCCCAAAACTGAAACAACGAAGAATTGAAAAATTGAAGAATAAAAAAAAAGAAAAATTCCAAAATTGAGAAATCGAAAAATTAAAAACCTGAAAAATTGAAAAATCAAAAAATTGAACAATTGAAAAACTACAAAATCCAGAAGTCGAGAAATTGAAAAGTCATTCATTAATTTTTTCGAGCCACCTGTTTAAGCAAATCTAAAAAATATGAATGCAATGATAAATCAGACGTAAAATCTTATGGTATTTTGCACATTTTGGGTACAATTGATTCCGCAAATTTTTGGCGTGACGTCATCACATTATTGGTGGGGATGATTGGATAAATTTTGGCCAGCGTTTTACCATCCACATGAGATTCCTAATATAAATACAAAATTTGACAACAATCGACCCAGCTGTTTCGGACATTATCTCTAATAAAAATCGGGACGGCAGACAGACAGACGGAAACAGGAAACCTATTCGTATTCTAAGGGTCACAGTCGCTTACGCTCGGGAAGTAACAACTTCCAAAACCTACTATCTTATCTCCGACACTACCAAAACACACGATTTCTCCGTCTTTGACGACACGTGTCTCCCCTTATCACGAAAGCACAATAATTTACGACCAACAACAATAACAAGCTCTGTTTCCATGAACTTCACAACATTTGACGTGTTTATTATTATTATGACTGGGAGAAAGTGCTTCAGTCAACACCTATGACGTACCTCATCGATAAAATCCGTCACGTCGTAGACAGCGTCCTTGATGATAATCCAGACCCTGTTCCCGCCTTTCCCGTCGTTTTTTGAAACCTCGTCGAGCGAATAGAGCGTCGTTTCCATTTTTGGGTTCACTGGTCACAATCACGTCCGATTAGAATTAAACCGAAAGCGGGTTATCAGGTGTTTATGAGTGTATTTTTATCTTGAAGAGGAATTCGGTTGTAATTTTTTACAAGGGGGTTTTATTTTCGCCAGGTCCGACTCTGTCGAGAGAGGGGAGTCGCCACTCAGGTGTTGTGTAAACCTCGATTTTGAAATTCGAGTGTAATACAAAGTTGCTTCCATTTTTGGGTTCACTGATGACAATCGCAATCACGTTTGAATTGAACCGAAAAAGGGTTATCAGGTGTTTATGTTATGAGTGTTTTTATCTGTAAGGAGTTCGGTTGTAAATTTTTATAACTTGGGGGTCGAGAGAGGGGAATCGCTGCACGAATTACGTCACCATGATGTGTAAGGGTGCGCTTTTTGCTTGTTTCAGTTTTGGAAAGAAATGTCGTTTAATGCATTATTATTCCGGTTTTCAAGTGCATAGTTTCAAGGTTTTGACGCATACTGGCCTCTCCACTTGTGGGCGGAGTGGTGGTAATGTGATGGGCATGGTTATGGCTACTTGATGTTAAAATGAGTTGGTCATCGCTGTAAAAAAATGTTTCAAGGTTATTTATTTGGACACAACAAAATATGTTCAAAGTTGACAATCAACGACGAAAGATCGAACAATCGAAAAACTGAAACGACGGAATATCGATAAATAGAGATAATGAGAAATAAAAAAAAGATTAAAAATCTAAATCCGAAAAGTCGAGAAAACAAAAACACCAAAAATTTCCAAAATTGAAATGGTGAAAAATTGAGAAATCTAAAACTCGAAAAAGCGAGAAATCTAAAAAGTGAAAAATAGAAAAAAAATAAAAGAAGAAGAAATCTAATCACAAAGTAGTAAAATCTTCTCGATTTTCAATTGTTCGATGACTTCAGTTTTGGGATTTCACAATTTTTCGTTTTTTCAATTTCTCGGTTTTTTAAATTTTCGAATTTTCGATTTTTATTTTTCTATTTCTCAATTCTCCGATATTTCCGTTTTACGATATTCCAATTTTTCGATTTTCGGCGTTCCCAATTTCCGATTTCTCGATTTCTAACTTTTTGACTTTTAGATTTTTCAATTTTCTGAATTTTCCATTTCTCAATTTCTCAGGTTTTTAAAGATTCGATTGCTCGACGTCTCGAATCCTCGATTTTTCAATTTTTCAAATCTTCAGGTTTTTCATTTTTCAATTTTTCAATTGTTAAAATTCTCATGTTTTGGACTTTTCGATTTATCGATCTTCCGAAAAAAAACAAAATTTTATAACATTTTCCCCGATTTTTCAGTTTTTCGATTTATGGATTTATCATTTTTTAGGTCTTAATTTTGGACTTACTAACATTTCGATTCTTAAATTTTTCGATCTTTCGGTTTGAATTTTCTATTTTTTACCTTTTAGATTTTCCAGTTTTTAAATGTTTCGATTTTTTAATTTTTCGATTTTTCATTTTTCCAATTTTTTTATGTCTGGATTTATAGAAATTCCGTTTTTCGATTTTTCAGTTCAATTTCCCGTTTTTTCGATTTTTCAATTTATTATTTTTTGATTTATCAATTTTTTCAATTTTAAATTTAAACATTAACTATACTAACTAAAAAATCGAGAAATTGAATAATCGAAATCTCGATAAATCGAAAAATTGAAAGGCTGAAATATCTAAAACATCACAAAACTAAAAAAAAATTTAAAAATTCGAAAAATGAAAAATCGAGAAATCGGGATCAGAAAAAATTGGAAAATCTAAAATTTTAAAATTGAAAAAGTAATAAATGGAGAAATCGAAAGGTGGAAAAATTGAAGGATCGGACTATTGAAACATCTCAAAACTGAAATATCTAAAAAAAAATTGAACAATCGAAAAATTGAAAACTCAAGAAATCTGAACATCGAAAAATTGAAAAATTAAGTTTAAAAAATCAAAAAATTGAAGAGTCGAAATTTGAAAAATTCCAAAACTGAAAAATCGAAAAACCAAAAAATCGATTCATCAAGAAATTCAGAAATCGAAAAATCCAAAATTTAGAAGCGTCCAAAATTGAAAGATCGAAAAATTGAAAACTAGAGAATCAAAAAGTCTCAAAAATTAAAAAATGATAATTGAAAAACTGATCATCGGAAATTTGAAAAATCGAAATCCGAAAAGTCAAAAAAACGAAGACGAAAATTAAAATATCGAAAAATGTAGAAATTCAAAAATTCCCACAATTCAAATGTTGAAAAAACTGAGAAATCGAAAAAGCGAGGTGTCACAAAAATTATTTTCAATAAATCGAAAAATTAAAAATTTAAAAATTCGAAAAACTGAAAAATTGAAATATCGAGAACTAAAAATTGGAGGAATGAAAACATCGAAAATTTGAAAAGTCTAAAATTTAAAAACTTTTAATCAAAAGTCGAGAAATCGAGAAATCCAAAATTGAAATCGAAAAAATTTCAAGATTGAAAAGATGAAAAAATTGAAAATTGAACGAATGAAAAATTGAAAACTCGAGAAATCCAAAAATTGAAAAACATATTTTAAACTGAAACGTCGAAATATCAAGAAGTTGAAAAATAAAAATCCAAATTCGAAAAATTGAAATCCGAAAAGTCGAAAAAACGAAAACGGAAAAATCAAGATATCGAAAAATCCAGAAATAAAAAATTTTCCAAAAATTAAATGTTGAAAAAAATGCGAAATCGAAAACTTGAAAAATCGAAAAATTTTAGAAATCCAAAAAGTGAGATATCAAGAACTGGAATCACAAAGTCTTAAAATCGAAAAATGTAAAATTTAAAAAATCGAAAAATTGCTTTCGATAAATCGAATAATTAAAAATTTAAAAATTCGAAAAATTAAAAAATAGAAATATCGAAGAACTAAAAAATCGAGACATCGAAATATCAAAACATCGAAAAATTGTAAAATCCAAGGTTTAAAAAAGCCTTTAATTGAAAGTCTAGAGATCGAAAAATCCAAAATTGAAATCGAAAAAATTTCAAAATTGAAAAGACAAAAATTGGGAAATCGAACAACTGAAAAATCGGAACATCGAAAAATTGAAAAATTTTGACAGACTGAAAAACCTAGATTTTAAAAATTGAAAAATTGAAAAATCGAAATAGTGAAAAATCCCAAAACTGAAATATCGGAGAATTGAAAAATTGAAAACCTGAAAAACTGAAAATCGAAAAATGGAAGAATTGAAAATTAAAAATCACCAAATCGAGATATCAAAAAATCGAAAAACCAAAAAATCGATTAACTGAAAAATTGCTAAAATTCAAATGTTGAAAAAATTGCAAAATCGAGTACTTGAAAAAACGATAAATCTGAAAATTTTAAAATTAATAAATTTTAAAAATCGAAAAAGCGAGATATCACGAACTCGAATCACAAAGTCGTAAAATCGAAAAATGTAAAATGTAAAAAATCGAAAAATTGCTTTCGATAAATATAAATAATTAAAAATTTAAAAATTCGAAAAATTAAAAAATAGAAATATCGAAGAACTAAAAAGTCGAGAGATCGAAATATCAAAACAACGAAAAATTGTAAAATCCAAGATTTAAAAAAACCTTTAATTGAAAGTCGAGAAATCGAAAAATCCAAAATTGAAATCGAAAAAATTTCAAAATTGAAAAGACAAAAATTGGGAAATCGTTCAATTAAAAATAGAAACATCGAAAAATTGTAAAACCCAAGATTTAAAAAAGCCTTTAATTGAAAGTCGAGAAATCGAATATTTTAAAAATTGAAAAATTGAAAAATCAAAATAGTGAGAAATCCCAAAACTGAAATATCGGAGAATTGAAAAATTGAAAACCTGAAACGCTGAAAATCGAAAAATGGAAGAATTGAAAATTAAAAATCGCCAAATCGAGATATCAAAAAGTCGAAAAACCAAAAATCGATTAATTGAAAAATTGCTAAAATTCAAATATTGAAAAAATTGCAAAATCGAGTACTTGAAAAAACGAGAAACCTGAAAATTTAAAAATTGATAAATTTTAAAAATCGAAAAAGCGAGATAGCAAGAACTCGAATCACAAAGTCGTAAAATCGAAAAATCTAAAATTTAAAAAATCGAAAAATTGCTTTCGATAAATATAAATAATTAACATCGAAAAATTGTAAAATCCAAGATTTAAAAAAGCCTTTAATTGAAAGTCGAGAAATCGAATATTTTAAAAATTGAAAAATTGAAAAATCAAAATAGTGAGAAATCCCAAAACTGAAATATCGGAGAATTGAAAAATTGAAAACCTGAAAAACTGAAAATTGAAAAATGGAAGAATTGAAAATTAAAAATCGCCAAATCGAGATATCAAAAAGTCGAAACACCAAAAAATCGAAAAATTGCAAAAATTCAAATGTTGAAAAAATTTAAAAATCGACTACTTGAAAAATCGAAAAATTTAAAAATTTAAAAATTGATAAATTTTACAAATCGAAAAATGTAAAATTTAAATAAATAAAAATTGTTTTCAATAAATCCAAAAATTAAAAATTTAAAAATGTAAAATTAAAAAAATCGAAAAATTGTTTTCAATAAATCTAAAAATTAAAAATATAAAAATTCGAAAAACTGAAAGATCCGAGATTAAAAAAAAACATCTAAATGAAAGTCGAGAAATCGAAAAAACCAAAATTGAAATCGAAAAAAAAATTCAAATTTGAAAAGACGAAAAATTGGGAAATCGAACGATTAAAAAATCGAAACATTGAAAAATTGAAATCTCGAGAAATCAAAGTATGGAAAAATTGAAAAATCGAAAGTGAAAAATCCCAAAACTGAAATATCGAAGAATTGAAAATTCGAACATCGATAAACTGAGAAATCGAAAAATCGAGAAATCACAAAAATTGAATAATCGAAATATTGAAAAATTCCAAAACTGAAATATCACAAATTGAAAAATTGGATTAAAAAATTATAAAAGCGAAAAATCGAAAAACTGAAAAATTGAATCGAAAATTACAATATCGACAAATCGAGAAGTCGAGAAATCGAAAAGTCGAACCAAGAAATCGATTAATCGAAAAATGGAGAAATTACTAAAATTCAAATGTTGAAAAAACTGAAAAATTTTAAAAATCGAAAAACCGAGATGTCAAGAAATAGAATTACAAATTCATAAATTCGAAAAATGTAAAATTTAAAAAATCGAAAAATTGTTTCAATAAATCGAAAAGTTAAAAATTTAAAAACAGAAAAACACAAATACGGAAGAACTAAAAAATGTATTAAATCCAAACATCAAAACATCGAAAAATTGAAAAATCCAAGAAATAAAAACTTTTAATTGAAAGTTGAGAAGTCGAAAAATCGAAACAAATTCAAAATTGAAAAGACGAGAAATTAAAAAAAAATTGAAGAATCGAAATATTAAAAAAATCCAAAACTGAAATATCGAAAGAAAACCTGAAAAATTAAAAACATGAATACATAATTTCAAAATCGACCAATCGCGAAGTCGAGAAATCGAAAAGTCGAAAAACCAAAAAATCATTTAATCGAGAAATTGAAAAATCGAAAATCTAGAAATGTCAAAAATTAAAAAATGATAATTGAAAAACTGAATAGTAATAAAACTGAAACATCGGAAAATTGCTGTACATTTACAATTTTGGTTTTTTTTCCAAAAATCTCGATGTTGCGGTAAAAATTCAACACGTATTCATAAACCACAAATGGAGGAGCATTGTAAAATTTGGAGATGACGTCATTTAAATTTTGGTTAGCGTTTTACATGATATTCATACGGAAATGGGGGACCTATTTTTTCATACCGTAGAAGTCAACAAACGCCAAGAGTGCTGATTTCTAAAAAGCGAAATGCACATTCGTACAACTATTGATCCTCGGTCTTCCACCCAATCGATCCCTTCTTTTTCTTAAATAATCGAGCATTTAATTACAAAGTCAACAGAATCGATCTGAAATTACCAAACTAAACCAGTCACTCCATTCGATTATCCCACTTCCACCATGGAAGTCTCCGACTTGGCCCACCTCTACGGAAAAGAACTCCACATAAAACAAATCTCAAAATGGCTCAGAGGCAGCGCTCGAGCCCAAGAAATCTCCAAAAGAGCCCAACTCAACTCCTCAGACGGCCACATAATAGACAAACACGACCAGTTTTTCAGAGACCACAAACTCCTCCTGGTTCTATTCCGGGTAAGTCCCACTAACTAACTTCTCAGAAAACCCCTTTTTGTTCAAGGTTTTGGGGGTAATGCCCGTACAAAGGGGCGAAATCGGGCGAATCACCTTCGGATGGACCAGCGTACCCATGTTATACGCCTACGTTTTCTACGTTGTCACTACAGTACTAGTGGTACTCGTAGGCTACGAACGCTTCGACATCCTCTTAAACAAAAGCAAGAAGTTCGACGAGTACATCTACTCCATTTTGTTCATAATTTACTTAGTGCCGCACTTTTTCACCCCTTTTGTTGGCTGGGGGGTGGCTTATGAAGTGTGCGATTATAAAAATAGCTGGGGGAGGTTCCAACTACACTATTACAAAATCACGGGGAAAGATTTGGAGTTTCCGCTTTTGAGTACTTTGATCATCGTGATTAGCTTAGGGTGCTTGATTCTAGCGGTGGTGTTTTTGTTAACCTTGAGTGCTCTGTTGGAAGGGTTCACGCTGTACCACACCACTGCGTACTTACACATAATCACGATGATTAACATGAACTGTGCCCTTTGGTACATTAACTGTAGGGCAATTGGGAACGCAAGTACCGCTTTGGCCGCCGCCTTTGAAAACGTAGGTACTAGTACAATCGCACGCAAATGTTTTGAGCCTATGGGCGGATCGTTTTTGCCTGCCCTCACCGAAGAAGGCGGTCCAAATCCTTCAAGGGCAGAATTTGTAGGTAGGCTCAAACTACAACGCAATTCACATTTTACCCTATAAAATTTTATTGACAATAACGGGACGGACAGTAGTTATATATACATTTGGTAAGAAATATTTATGGCTCACACCAGTTCTCTCGAATTTGTCGGAGAAGATTTAGCAGGTAGTTGTTCCGATAAAATAATGGTCACTTCGTTCGTGAGTAACGATGGTCCGGACATGAATTATTTTGCTTTCTAACATCTTTCGACCAATTGTTCCGTATAAAAAATTTCATCACTTTTTCAAATAAAATACTCTTAAAAAAAAACGATATTGTCGTTGAGTGACATGTAACTGGCATAATAATAAAAACGTGCCATTTTTGTTAACTGATAGTAAATGGGTTTTAAATTGTATACAGTAACATGGTCCTACACATGTAGTTTATGACTCCGTGTTGAATTTTTATCCGAAACGTCCAGATTTTTGGAAAAAAAATCAAAATTATAAAACAATATTTTGCAATTTAATTTTGAATTTGCAAAATCGAATACTTTGAAATCTTGCAGATGTTTTAAAATCATGATAAACATGATACATTTTTAATTAAAATATATTTGCTTATCCCCTCTAAAAAATTTATGACGTCACCTCAAAATTTTGCAGAATAAATCCTATCTTAAATGCATAAAATATGATGAGTTTTATAGTTGTGATTTATCACTGCATTGATATTTTTTAGATTTGGTTATACAGGTGTCTCAAAAAAGTTAATGACTGATTCAATTTATTTTATTGAAGAAATCAAGAATAGCAAAACTGAATACTTTGAAATATTGTAGATGTTTTGAAGTTTTTGTAAGCATGGTAACTTTTTCGAAAATTTGATTAATCAAATATGCGCAAAATCAAAAATCGGAAAAACTGAAATTCACTAATGCAAAAAACAGAAAATCGAAAAATACAAATCGTAAAAATCGAAAATCTAAAAATGGCTAATCAAAAAATCGAAAATTCAATGAATCAAATACCTAGGTCGATCGAAAAGTGGAAATTCACAAACCTCAAAAATCGAAAATTGGAAAACGGGAAAACCAAAAAAATCGAAAAGTCAAAAATTTGTAATATTGAAAATTAAAAAAACCAAAAACAAAAATTAAAAAAATCGGAAATTAAAATAATCAAAATATATAAAGTAAAAAAAATTGCAAAGCCTAAAAACTGAAACGAACAGAAAAATCGAAAAAGCAAAAAATTGGAAAAACAAAAATCTGAATAAAGAAACTTGGAAATTCTGAAAATTGGAAAATCGAAAACCAAAAAATCGGAAAGTAACAAAATTGAAGTCTAACAGTTGAGAATGGAAAAATTGAAAAACCGAAAATTCTAAAAATCGACAATGGACAAATTGAAAATCGCAAAATTTAAATTGAAAAATTGAACATAGAAAAATCGATGAATTGAAAAATCGAAAATTCGACTACTCAAATTTTCTAAAAATCGAAAAATCATAAAACTGAAAAATCCAAAATTCTAATCATCGAAAGTCTGAAAACTGAAAATCGAAAATTTGTAATATTGAAAATTAAAAAAATCAAAAACAAAAATTAAAAAAATCGGAAATTAAAATAATCAAAATATATAAAGTAAAAAAAATTGCAAAGCCTAAAAACTGAAACGAACAGAAAAATCGAAAAAGCAAAAAATTGGAAAAACAAAAATTCGAAAAATCTAAAATCGAAAAAGTGGAAAATCGAAAATCTGAATAAAGAAACTTGGAAATTCTGACAATTGGAAAAACGAAAACCAAAAAATCGGAAAGTAACAAAATTGAAGTCTAACAGTTGAGAATGGAAAAATTGAAAACCGAAAATTCTAAAAATCGACAATGGACAAATTGAAAATCGCAAAATTTAAATTGAAAAATTGAAGATAGAAAAATCGATGAATTGAAAAATCGAAAATTCTGAAAAGCGGAAAATAGAATATCGAAAAATTTAAAAGAAAGAAAATTTAAGTCTAAAAACCGAAGAATGGAAAAATTAAAAATCAAAAATTCGAAAAATCAAAACCGAAAAATTCAAAGATTTAAATAGAAATTCGAAAAATCAAAAATCTGAAAATTGAAACTCGAAAATTTGGAAAATCGAAAAGTAAAAAATTGAAGTCTAAAAGCTGAAAAATCGAAAACTGAACAATCGAAAATTCGAAAATCAAATATCGAAAAATTGAAAATTTGATAAATCAGATATGCGAAAAACAGAAAATCTGAAATTACAAAACTGGAAAATCAAAAATCTAAAAATGGAAAAACCGAAAATCGAAAATTCATAATATTGAAAACTCTAAAAGTCGACAATTCAAAAATCAAAAAACTGGAAAAAAATAATCGAAAAATCGAAAAGTAAACAAATTGCAAAGCCAAAAAACTGACGAACAGAAAAATCGAAAAATCGTAAAATCAAAAAGTGGAAAATCGAAAACTGGAAATTGAAAAATCGAAGATTGGAAAATCGAAAAATCGAAAATCGGAATATCGAGAATCGACAAATTAAAAAACCGAAAAATCGAAAAATTAAAAAATCGGAAATCGAAAAATTAAAAAAAAAACGAAAATTCAAAAATCGAGTAATCCGAATCTAAAATAATAGAAAAGTGGAAAAGTAAAAATTGCATAGTCTCAAAATTGACGAACAGAACAATCGAAAAATAAAAAAAAAATCGAAAAATATCTAAACATGGAAAATCGAAAAATCGAAAATCGGAAAATGGAAAAACCGAAAAATCGAAAACTCGAAAATTCGATGAAACAAATACTCGAAAAAGCGAGAAGTGAAAAAATTGCAAGGCCTAAAAATTGAAAAATCAAAAAATCGAAAAAGTGGAAAATCGAAAATCTGAATAAAGAAACTTGGAAATTCTGAAAATTGGAAAATCGAAAACCAGAAAATCGGAACGTAACAAAATTGAAGTGAAACAGTTGAGAATGGAAAAATTGAAAAACCGAAAATTCTAAAAATCGACAATGGACAAATTGAAAATCGCAAAATTTAAATTGAAAAATTGAACATAGAAAAATCGATGAATTGAAAAATCCAAAATTCGACTATTCAAATTTTCTAAAAATCGAAAAATCATAAAACTAAAAAATCCAAAATTCTAATCATCGAAAGTCTGAAAAGTGAAAATCGCAAATTCTGAAAAGCGGAAAATAGAATATCGAAAAATTTAAAAGAAAGAAAATTGAAGTCTAAAAACCGAAGAATGGAAAAATTAAAAATCAAGAATTCGAAAAATCAAAACCGAAAAATTCAAAAATTTAAAAAGAAAATCGAAAAATCAAAAATCTGAAAATTGAAACTCGAAAATTTGGAAAATCGAAAAGTAAAAAAATTGAAGTCTAAAAGCTGAAAAATGGAAAACTGAACAATCGAAAATTCGAAAATCAAATATCGAAAAATCGAAAAGCCGAAAAATCGAAAATTTGATAAATCAGATATGCGAAAAACAGAAAATCTGAAAATACAAAACTGGAAAATCAAAAATCTAAAAATGGAAAAATCGAAAATCGAAAATTCATAATATTGAAAACTCTAAAAGTCGACAATTCAAAAATCAAAAAACTGGAAAAAAATAATCGAAAAATCGAAAAGTAAACAAATTGCAAAGCCTAAAAACTGACGAACAGAAAAATCGAAAAATCGTAAAATCAAAAAGTGGAAAATCGAAAACTGGAAATTGAAAGATCGAAGATTGGAAAATCGAAAAATCGAAAATCGGAATATCGAGAATCGACAAATTAAAAAACCGAAAAATCGAAAAATTAAAAAATCGGAAATCGAAAAATTAAAAAAAAACGAAAATTCAAAAATCGAATAATCCGAAACTAAAATAATAGAAAAGTGGAAAAGTAAAAATTGCAAAAGTCTCAAAACTGACGAACAGAACAATCGAAAAATAAAAAAAAATCGAAAAATATCTAAACATGGAAAATCGAAAAATCGAAAATCGGAAAATGGAAAAACCGAAAAATCGAAAACTCGAAAATTCGATGAAACAAATACTCGAAAAAGCGAAAAGTAAAAAAATTGCAAGGCCTAAAAATTGAAAAATCAAAAAATCGAAAAAATGAAAATCGAAAAAACGACGATCGAAAAAAAAACAAAAAATCGAAAAGTGGAAAATCGGAAAGTCACAAAATTGAAATCTAAAAGCTGCAAATTGCAGAACCATAAAAACTGAAACAAACAGAAAAATCGAAAAACCACAAAAGCGGAAAAACGAAAATCGAAAAATCGTTAAATCAGAAAATGGAAAATCGAATAATTGAAATTTGAAAAATTGAAGGTCGAAAAATAAAACAACCGAAAAATTTTATGACTAATGGAAAATCGAAAAATCGAGAATAGAATAATTAAAAAACCGGAAAATTGAAAAATCGGAAATCGAAGAATTAAAAACGTAAAATCGAGAATTCAAAAATCAAAAAAATCGGAAAGTAAAATATAATCGAAAAATGCAAAAAAATTGCAAAGTCTAAAAACTGACGAACAGAAAAATCAAAAAATCTAAAAATGGAAAGACGAAAAATCGAAAATTGGAAGAATGGCAAATTAAAAAATCGAAACATCGAAAAATCAAAAAAACGAAAAATTAAAAAATCGAAAAACGAAAAAACTGAAAACTCGAAAAATCAAAATACCGCAAATTTGAAAAATCAGAAAATTAGAAAGTAATAAAATCGAAAAGTTGATAGAAAAATGGAAACTGAAAAATCTAATTCGATGAAACTGTTGGTCGAAAAAACGAAAAATCGAAAATCGAAGTGACCTTTTTTTGAGACAGACTGTATAAGTAAATCTAAAAAATATTACTGCAATGATAAATCACAGGTATAGAAATGTAGTACAATTCAAAAAATGGCCGTGACTTACTTTAATGTGAATTTTATAACTATGGTCGGCACAATTAGACCTAATATTAGTGTGATTTTGAGCATATTCTCGATGTTATTAGAGCACCCTGTATGTATAAACAAATCCAAAAAATATTAATGGAATGGTAAATCACAAGTATAGACTCATCATATTCTGAACATTTTAGATCGGGTATTTATAAAATTAAAACTAATTCAGGGTAAGAATTTGGTCAACACGTAAATTTCGTTGTAGTTTGAGCCTACCTACAAATTCTGCCCTTGGACGATTTGGACCGCCTCCTTCGGTGACGACCGGCAAAAATGATCCGCCCATAGGCTCAAAACATTTGCGTGCGATTGTACCACCGACGCTAGTTCAGCTAATTTGGTGATTCAAGGACATCGAGCACAACTGTTCGGGCTACATCATAGCCCACTATAGAGTACTTTGGTTGTCCTTGAGCGAACTGCTACAAAAATTGGGCAACGCGTACGCAAGAACGTACTCAACCTATTCGCTTTTCATGATGACTAATATCACAATAGCGGTAATTTTAAAATATAGGTAGGTGTCACAATCTAGGGAGAAATTTTTAAACAGGTGTATGGATTCACGTCAGAAATCGTCGACCATGGTATCCGCTTCAGTTTCAAAGAAGTGGGTCTTCTGGTCGACGCGACCTATTGTCTTTTTCTTTTTTTCGTTTTTTGTGACTGTTCTCACCAAGCTTCTTTGGACATAGCGGATCGAGTACAGACATCTTTGATGAAAATTGAGTTAAACAAAGTGGATAAAGGGACACGAAAAGAAGTATTAATAAAAAAAATAAAGGGTAATTGTGACCACTTATATTGTTTCAGATTGACTTATTTTTAATCGCTATTCAAATGAATCCGCCTAAGGTGTCTTTGAAAGGTTACAATGTGGTCAACCGGGAAATGGTGTCAGCGGTAGGATCCTCACCCATATTTCCTTCCACCTAGGAGTACTTTTTAATTTGTTCTAGAGTGTCGCCACCATAGCAATCTACTTAATAGTCCTTCTACAATTCAAAATAGGTTTATTAAATATGCGTGGCTAAGAAATGAAGTCAGTCGTTATGGAAACATCAATCGAAACACGAATAAAATAGGTCAATATCACTCGATTTATTGAATTCTGTCCGGCAGGGTTAGTAGGGTAGCATGCACGCACAAAACACGATCTTACTCATTATAATACTAACCATAAGTTGTGATGAGGTAACAAAATGAATAAATCTTTCCCCAAACTGTCCCACTTTTTTACCAGGACCTCAAAATCCGGATCGGCTTGCCCGAGTATATCTGTGATAAAGATGGCGGAGTTAGAGACGTGAGCAACGAATTAACGACCATCAGGTAACCCAACACAAGGAAAAACAAAAATGTGTGTCAGACTTTTAGGCAAAGACGCTCTGAACGTGTCGTACAATTTCGACGTGAACTTTCGCACGATCGGAAAGAAATGTTACAACGATCAGAGATGCACGCTGATGAAGTGGAAGGCCGTGAGAGAGTTGGATCATTATCTTAAGAATTACCCAGTGGAGAAATTGCGCAGTGGGCTGATCCAAATTAACAACACTATGGTAAATTAGGTGTGAGGTAATTACAAATGGGTGAATTAAATTGTAGTTCGACCCTGGAGTTAAATACATCATTAACGTCCAGCTGATTAGTCAAGGGAAAGTCGTGGAGGAGAAACAACTCAGTCTTGACTACGTCGACGACGCCGTAAGGGCGAAAGTCAAAAAACCGATGGCCTCGTTGCTGCTTCTAGCACCAGATACTTCGTACGCTTTCGCTAGATACGTCGTCAATGCGGAAGTCAACGTTTGCTCTAACATTTCGGCGTACTACGTATATATTTTTTTTCGTAGAAATTATACTCGTTCGACTAGTTTCTCATTGTTACTATTTTAGTTCACCTGGGAAGTCACCAACTCACAAAATGTCACTCAATTTCCAACCAGAAGCGCCGAATTGGCCATTCCTGCCAACACATTCCAGGCTTCTCAGACCTATACTATCAAATGTACTGTAGTTGGAGTCACCAACAACACCCCCATCGCTGAAGTAACTCTCCCCACTCCACTTAAGCCTACTTAACCTAGCTATTTTTAAAGAGTCAACAAACCGTCACGGTTTTAAGTAAGGGGTTGCTCTTGCGTCTACCCATCAAGCGCTTGACCACTCGCCGCGGTAACGACGTGCAAATCAAAGCCTACGTGAAAGATCTAGACAACATAGATGGCGAAATCCGGGTGCGTATATCCCACTTCTGACTTAATTTTATCAAAAGCCAGGTTTCTATTAATATAGTTAGATTTTTGGATTTCTCGGTTTTTCGATTTTTTACTTTTGGGCTTTTCAGTTCGCCAGTTTTTCGATGTTTCGATATTTATTCTGGAGTTTCGATTTCTCGATTTGGCGATTTTTCGGTTTTTCGATTTTTAAGTTTAAGATTTTCGAATTTTTATTTCTTGATTTTTTGATTTCTCGAGTTTTCAGTTTCAACGTTGCTAAATTTATTTTCACTTTTCCGATTTCTTAAATAATCTATTTTTGATTTTCCCACTTCTAGAGTTTGCTTTTTTGGTTTTCTATTTCTCAATTTTCCAATTTTTTAATTTCTCAATTTTTGATATTTCTTTCAGTTTTGGGTTTTTTCAATATTTCGTTTCTTCGAATTTTCGACTTCTGAATTTTTCGATTTTTTATTTTTTCGTTTTTAAACTTTACATTTCCATTTGTCGGTTTTTCGATTTTTCTGTTTCGATTTTTACATTATTCGATTTTTCAATTTTCCAATTTTTTTAATTTTCGAGTTTCGATTTCTCGTTTTGTTGATTTTTCGGTTTTTCGATTTTTAAATTTTAGATTTTTCAATTTTTGATTTCTTGATTTTTTGATGTTTAGATTCCTTCAGTTTTCAATTTTACCATATATTAATTTTTCAACGTTTTAAATTTTAGATTTTTCGATTTTTCAGTTCTTCAATATTTTTTAATTTTTCAAATTTTGACGGTTCAGAATTTTCAGATTTCCAATTTCTCAATCTATTTTTTGATTTTCCCATTTCGCGACTTCCCCAAGTTTCGATGTTTCAGTTCTTCAGTTCAATTTTTCGATTTTTCAGGTTTTTGATTTTTCAATTCTTCGATTTTTTAAATTTGCGATTTTTCGACTTTGCTTTCGACTTTTTGATTTCTCAATTTTTGAATTCTTTGACTTCCTAGTTTTTGAATATTTTGTTCAATTTTGTGATTTTTCAGTTTTTCGACTCTTTTTTAGTATGTCGACTTTTCGATTTTTCTGATTCTGGATTTTTCAATTTTTCTGATTTCTAGACTTTTTACTTTTTTTTTCAATTTTTCTTTTTTTAAACATTAGATTTTTCAATTTTTCGACTGTTTTATATTTCGATTTCCCAATTTTTCAACTTTTCGATATTTTAATTTTTCATTTTTACAATTGTAGATTTTTCGATTTGTCGGTTTTTCGATTATTCTGTTTCGATTTTTGTATTATTCGATTTTTTAATTTTCGAGTGTCGATTTCTCGTTTTGTTGATTTTTCAGTTTTCCGGTTTTTAAATTTTAGATTTTTTTGATGTTTAGATTTCTTCATTTTTCAAATTTACGATATTTTAATTTTTCAATGTTTTAAATTTTAGATTTTTCGATTTTTCAGTTCTTTAATATTTTTTAATTTTTCAAATTTTGACGTTTCAGGATTTTCAGATTTCCGATTTGACAATCAATCTATTTTTTGATTTTTCCATTTCGCGACTTCCCCAAGTTTCGATGTTTCAGTTCTTCAGTTCTACAATTTTTAGATTTTTGAAGTTTTTGATTTTTCAATTTTGCGATTTTTTAAATTTTCGATTTTTCGACTTTGCTTTTTGACTTTTTGATTTTCCAATTTTTCAATTCTTTGACTTCCTAGTTTTTGAATATTTTGTTCAATTTTGTGATTTTTCAGTTTTTCGACCCTTTTTTAGTATTTCGACTTTTCAATTTTTCTGATTCTGGATTTTTCGATTTTTCTGATTCTGGATATTTCGATTTCTAGACTTGTTTCTTTTTTTTTCAATTTTTCTTTTTTTAAACATAGATTTTTCAATTTTTCGACTGTTTTATATTTCGATTTCTCAATTTTTCAACTTTTCGATATTTTAATTTTTCATTTTTACAATTCTAGATTTTTCGATTTTTCGAGGTCCCAATTCTTCTATATTTAAATTTTTTAATTTTTCGAATTTTTAAATTTTCGATTTTTCAATTTTTAAATTTTTTTAATTATCGACTTTTGATTTCTTGTTGATTTTTCAGTTTTTCGATTTTTCAATTTTAATTTTTTTGATTTTTTGATGTTTAGATTTCTTCATTTTTCAATTTTACGATATTTTAATTTTTCAATGTTTTAAATTTTAGATTTTTCGATTTTTCAGTTCTTCAATATTTTTTAATTTTTCAAATTTTGACGTTTCAGAATTTTCAGATTTCCGATTTCACAATCAATCTATTTTTTGATTTTCCCATTTCGCGACTTCCCCAAGTTTCGATCTTTCGGTTCTTCAGTTCTTCAATTTTTCGATTTTTCAGGTTTTTGATTTTTCAATTTTTCGATTTTCTGAATCTGCGATTTTTCGACTTCGCTTTTTGACTTTTTGATTTCTCAATTTTTCAATTCTTTGACTTCCTAGTTTTTGAATATTTGGTTAAATTTTGTGATTTTTCAGTTTTTCGACTCTTTTTTAGTATTTCGACTTTTCGATTTTTCTGATTCTCAATTTTTCGATTTTTCTGATTCTGGATATTTCGATTTCTAGACTTCTTACTTTATTTTTCAATTTTTCTTTTTTTAAACATTAGCTTTTTCAATTTTTTGACTGTTTTATATTTCGATTTCTCAATTTTTCAACTTTTCATTTTACAATTCTAGATTTTTCGATTTCTCGAGTTCCCAATTCTTCTATATTTTACTTTTTTAATTTTTCAATTTTTCGATTTTTCAATTTTTTGAGATCGTGATTATCGAGATTGGGATTGTTCTGATCTTTTGATAGTTCAATCTCTAGATTTATCAATTTTTCCATTTTTAACCTTTCGATTTTTCGATTTCTCGATCTTATGAATTTTTCGATGTTTCGCTGTTTGTATTATTCGATTTTTCAATTTTCCAATTTTTTTAATTTTCGATTTCTCGTTTTGTTGATTTTTTAGTTTTTCGATTTCTAATTTTTAGATTTTCCACTTTTTATTTTTTTGATTTTTTGATGTTTATAGATTTCTTCATTTTACAAATCTACGATATTTTAATTTTTCAATGTTTTAAATTTTAGATTTTTCGATTTTTCAGTTCTTCAATATTTTTTAATTTTTCAAATTTTGACGTTTCAGAATTTTCAGATTTCCGATTTCACAATCAATCTATTTTTTGATTTTCCCATTTCGCGACTTCCCCAAGTTTCGATCTTTCGGTTCTTCAGTTCTTCAATTTTTCGATTTTTCAGGTTTTTGATTTTTCAATTTTTTAAATTTGCGATTTTTCGACTTTGTTTTTGGACTTTTTGATTTCCCAATTATTCAATTCTTTGACTTCCTAGTTTTTGAATATTTTGTTCAATTTTGTGATTTTTCAGTTTTTCGACCCTTTTTTAGTATTTCGACTTTTCCCATTTTTCTAATTCCGGATTTTTCGATTTTTCTTATTCTGGATATTTCGATTTCTAGACTTTTTACTTTTTTTTCAATTTTTCTTTATTTAAACATTAGATTTTTCAATTTTTCGACTGTTTTATATTTCGATTTCTCAATTTTTCAACTTTTCGATATTTTAATTTTTTATTTTTACAATTCTTGATTTTTCGATTTCTCGAGGTCCCAATTCTTCTATATTTTAATTTTTTAATTTTTCGAATTTTTAAATTTTCGATTTTTCAATTTTCCAATTTTTTTAATTTTCGAGATTCGATTTCTCGTTTTGTTGATTTTTCAGTTTTTTGATTTTTAAATTTTAGATTTTTCAATTTTTATTTTTTTGATTTTTTGATGTGTAGATTTCTGCATTTTTCAATTTTACGATATTTTAATTTTTCGATGTTTTAAATTTTAGATTTTTCGATTTTTCAGTTCTTCAATATTTTTTTATTTTTCAAATTTTGACGTTTCAGAATTTTCATATTTCCGATTTCACAATCAATCTATTTTTTGATTTTTCCATTTCGCGACATCCCTAAGTTTCGATTTTTCAGTTCTCCAGTTCTTCAATTTTTTGATTTTTCAGGTTTTTGATTTTTCAATTTTTAGATTTTTTAAGTTTGCAATTTTTCGACTCTGCTTTTTTGACTTTTCTGTTTCTCAATTTTTTAATTTCCTAATTTTTTGATATTTCGTTCAATTTTGCGATTTTTCACTTTTTCGACTCTTTTTTAGTATTTTGGACTTTTCGATTTTTCTGATTCTGGATATTTCGATTTCTAAACTTTTTACTTTTTTTCCAATTTTTCTTTTTTTAAACATTAGATTTTTCAAGTTTTCGACTGTTTTATGTTTCGGTTTCTCAATTTTTCAACTTTTCGATATTTTAAGTTCTCATTTTTACAATTCTAGATTTTTCGATTTCTCGAGGTTTTTTTTTCAATTCTTCTATATTCTAATTTTTTAATTCTTCGATTTTTCAATTTTTCGAGATCGTGATTATCGAGATTGGGATTGTTCCGATCTTTTGATAGTTCAATCTCTAGAGTTATCAATTTTTTCATTTTAACTTTTCGATTTTTCGATTTTAGCCTATTTCGGTTTCTCAATTTTTCGATTTTTCCACTTCTCGACTTTTAGACCCCTCGATTTCTCGATCTTACGAATTTTTCGATGTTTCGATTTTTCCATTTGTCGGTTTTTCGATTTTTGTATTATTTGATTTTTCGATTTTCCAATTTTCTTAATTTTCGAGTTTGGATTTCTCGTTTTCTTGATTTTTCAGTTTTTCGATTTTTAAATTTTAGATTTTCGAATTTTTTGTTTATGATTTTTTGATATTTAGATTTCTTCATTTTTCAATTTTACGATATTTTCATTTTTCAATGTTTTAAATTGTATATTTTTCGATTTTTCAGTTCTTCAATATTTTTTAATTTTTCAAATTTTGACGTTTCAGAATTTTCAGATTTCCGATTTCACAATCAATCTATTTTTTGATTTTCTCATTTCGCGACTTCCCCAAGTTTCCATATTTCAGTTCTTCAGTTCTTCAATTTTTCGATTTTTCAGGTTTTTGATTTTTCAATTTTTCGATTTTTCGACTTTGCTTTTTGATTTTTTGATTTCTCAATTTTTCAATTCTTTGACTTCCTAGTTTTTGAATATTTTGTTCAATTTTGTGATTTTTCAGTTTTTCGACTCTTTTAGTATTTCGACTTCTGGATTTTTCTGATTCTGGATTTTTCGATTTTTCTGAGTCTGTATATTTCGATTTCTAGACTTTTTACTTTTTTTTCTCAATTTTTCTTTTTTTAAACATTAGATTTTTCAATTTTTCGACTGTTTTATAATTCGATTTCTCAATTTTTCAACTTTTCGATATTTTAATTTTTCATTTTTACAATTCTAGATTTTTCGATTTCTCGAGTTCCCAATTCTTCTATATTTTAATTTTTTAATTTTTCAATTTTTCGATTTTTCAATTTTTATTTTCTTGATTTTTTGATGTTTAGATTTCTTCATTTTTCAATTTTACGATATTCTAATTTTTCAATGTTTTAAATTTTAGATTTTTCGATTTTTCAGTTCTTCAATTTTTCGATTTTTCAGGTTTTCGATTTTTCAATTTTTCGATTTTTTAAATTTGCGATTTTTCGACTTTGGTTTTTGGACTTTTTGATTTCTCAATTTTTCAATCCTTGGACTTCCTACTTTTTGAATATTTTGTTCAATTTTGTGATTTTTCAGTTTTTCGACCCTTTTTTAGTATTTCGACTTTTCGATTTTTCTGGTTCTGGATTTTTCGATTTTTCTGATTTTGGATATTTCGATTTCTAGACTTTTTACTTTTTTTTTCAATTTTTCTTTTTTAAACATTAGATTTTTCAATTTTTCGACTGTTTTATATTTCGATTTCTCAATTTTTAAACTTTTCGATATTTTAATTTTTCATTTTTACAATTCTAGATTTTCGATTTTTCGAGGTCCCAATTCTTCTATACTTTAATTTTTTAATTTTTCGAATTTTTAAATTTTCGATTTTTCAAGTTTTTGAGATCGTGATTGTTCCGATCTTTTGATAGTTCAATCTCTAGATTTATCAATTTTTCCATTTTTAACTTTTGGATTTTTCTACTTTAGCCTATTTCGTTTCTCAATTTTTCGATTTTTCCACTTCTCAACTTTTCGACCCTTCGATTTCTCGATCTTATGAATTTTTCGATGTTTCGATTTTTCCATTTATCCATTTTTCGATTTTTCTGTTTCGATTTTTCAATTTTCCAATTTTCTTAATTTTCGAGTTTCGATTTCTCCTTTTGTTGATTTTTCAGTTTTTCTATTTTCAAATTTTAGATTTTTCAATTTTAATTTTTTTGATTTTTTGATGTTTAGATTTCTTCATTTTTCAATTTTACGATATTTTAATTTTTCAATGTTTTAAATTTTAGATTTTTCGATTTTCCAGTTCTTCAATATTTTTTAATTTTTCAAATTTTGACGTTTCCGAATTTTCAAATTTCCGATTTCACAATCAATCTATTTTTTGATTTTCCCATTTCGCGACTTCCCCAAGTTTCGATTTTTCGGCTCTTCAGTTCAATTTTTCGATATTTCAACTTTTTGATTTTTCAAATTTTCAATTTTTTAAATTTGCGATTTTTCGACTTTGTTCTTGGACTTTTTGATTTCCCAATTTTTCAATTCTTTGACTTCCTAATTTTTGAATATTTTGTTCAATTTTGTGATTTTTCAGTATTTCGACTTTTAGTTTTTTTTTATTCTGGATTTTTCGATTTTTCTGATTCTGGATATTTCGATTTCTAGACTTTTTACTTTTTTTTTTCAATTTTTCTTTTTTAAACATTAGATTTTTCAATTTTTTGACTGTTTTATATTTCGATTTCTCAATTTTTCAACTTTTCGATATTTTAATTTTTCACTTTTACAATTCTAAATTTTTCGATTTCTCGAGGTACCAATTCTTCTATATTTTAATTTTTTAATTTTTCGAATTTTTAAATTTTCGATTTTTCAATTTTTACTTTGATTTTTTGATGTTTAGATTTCTTCATTTTTCAATTTTACGATATTTTAATTTTTCAATGTTCTAAATTTTAGATTTTCCGATTTTTCAGTTCTTCAATATTTTTTTATTTTTCAAATTTTGAGGTTTCAGAATTTCCAGATTTCTGATTTCACAATCAATCTATTTTTTGATTTTCCCATTTCGCGACTTCCCCAAGTTTCGATGTTTCAGTTCTTCAGTTCAATTTTTCGATTTTTCAGGTTTTTGATTTTTCAATTTTTCGTTTTTTCAAATTTGCGATTTTTCGACTTTGCTTTTTGACTTTTTGATTTCTCAATTTTTCAATTCTTTGACTTCCTAGTTTTTGAAAATTTTGTTCAATTTTGTGATTTTTCAGTTTTTCGACTATTTTTTCAATTTTCTTTTTTTAAACATTCGATTTTTCAATGTTACATATTAAATATATAGTCACTACTTAAATCAAAATCACGTGACATGATTCAGGCGACTTGGTCGTGCATTGAAACCACCACTGACGAAGAATGTCAATACGACAGCGACACGAGCGAATTGGACGTCTACTCCGGGTTCGACCAGCCCGGAACTTACAAAATTTCGTTGGAAATTTCGAAAAGTGAATTCACCGAAAGCGACTCCTGTATAGTTGTGGTTATGGATAATGCGGCTATAGTGGAAATTGAAGATATTGAATTCCCGACGAATCCAACCACTGGGATAACAATAGAAGCCACGATTTACGAGCTCCGGACGTTTTGTACCTTACAATGGACTGCACCGGAAGAGGAGGGTTACGAAAGTGTCGATTTATCAACAGTGGTAAGTTTTGACATTTTTATTTTTTGAAAAATAAACTATAGTGTGTAGCCGGGGAACGTCAACGAGGTGATCAACGTCACAATGAAGGAAGATTTGTTCTTGTACGAACTGGAGGAGTTTAGTAATGACACGATTGACAAGAAGCACGACTTAGTGTTACCCCCACCTAGTGGTAAGTGACACATTGTCTTAGACTAACTTAGATTGATCACACTTAACAGGTAACTGGGAGGGGCTTAAAGGAGACCGTAAGTACTTGTTTCGCTTAACAGTCACGTGTCCCATTATGGATGACCCTTCCGACAACTTTAACACGAGTGTCAGTGTGACCTCCACCACTGACATTGTAGTCGAAACCAACTCACCCCCTGTCACTCAGTCGCTAGATGTCGCCCCCCTGCAAGGCGTCGCTTTCATCACCACTTTCACTTTCAAAACCCAGAGGGCGCTGGATAAGGACGGGGACGGACCTACGTTGTACAAATTCGGGTTTACTTTGAATCAAAGGGACATTGTTTTGTGGACTTTGGGCGAAGTGACCAACTGTGAAGCGACTTTGCCCTATTCTGGTAACAAATCAATGCGTGGGGGTTTTTATTACTTCGAAGTTTGTAGATAATGGGGTGCCGACGTTCCTGGAAAGTTGTGACAGTTTCGGGACTTGTGGGCGGCTTCTGGGACCCACTATTCAGACGAAGTTGCCCGATAACATTGATAAGGAGTATTGATTTGAGTGTGTGTTTGTTGTGGCTTAAGTGTGATTTACAGGGTGATTTTGCAACGGTTTATCGCGAAAATTGATGCTAAGGATTACGACAGAGGTTTCACTGAAGCTTTCATTATTTTATCGAGCTATAAATCAGACGAAGATGATAAAATAAAGGAAGTTGTGGCACGAAAAGTCAACGAAGAAGTCGAGAAGTATGTAAATAGTGACGTCAACGACGTGGTTCTAAGTAATGTCAACGAATTGATGCGCAATATCAACGAGTTTAATTCAGATTTACAACTTCCCGAGGACGTTATTAATGTATTTTCGCTTTGTTTGAACTGGATTCTGTCTCTATAGATTGTTGTATTTGTAGAATGTGGTGCGACTGCGCAACAAATTCTCAGACGAACCAATTAAATACACGCAACGACAACTGTTGTCGTTTCGGGGGAAAAGGGCCAGTTCTTTGACAGTCCACGACGTCCAGAACTACCTCGAAATTTCAGAATTGATAATCACTACGTCAAACGACTTAAGTAAGGTAAATCTCGAGAAGGAGTATCTGAGGAAGCAGTTGCGCAACCACATGGAGAAACTTTGTACCAACATGAAGAAAACGCAAGTTTCTTTGGGTAATCATTTGCCTTTTTACTTTCCGAACGCTAAAATTTAAATAAATGCTAAATAAAATAACTTTATGAGCAAGCAGTAAACGGATTTGAGTTCTAGAGCTCGAATTCTACAAGAAAATGTGTTTAGTTTCGTTTCGAAAATGTCAAAATTTTCCGAAATTTGAAGAAGGGGGGACCATTACAAAATTTCAATTTTAAAAAAGTCGTCTGAAAATTATGAAAAAATTCAGGGACGTTGATCTCGACACGCTGATTCCAAAAATAAAGCTTGTTGATGGTCACGGAGCAACATTTTCGAAAAAATCGGGACGAAATGCGAATTTTTGAAAATTTCAAAAATTTCGATAATTCAACGGTCGATTCTGGAAAAACGGTTGCAGTTATCAAAAAACCGAGACCGGATTTGAGTTCTAGAGCTCGAAATCTACAGGAAAATGTGTCTAGTTAAGTTCCGAAAATGCCAACATTTTTGCGAAATTTGAAGAAGGGGGGACCACTAAAAAATTTCGATTTTAAAAAAGTCGTCTAAAAATTATGAAAAAATTCAGGGACGTAGATCTCGACACGCTGATTCCAAAAATATAGCTTGTTGATGGTCAAGAAGCAACATTTTCGAAAAAATCGGGACGAAATGCGAATTTTTGAAAATTTCAAAAATTTCGATAATTCAACGGTCGATTCTAGAAAAACGGTTGCAATTATCAAAAAACCGAGACCGGATTTGAGTTCTAGAGCTCGAAATCAACAGGAAAATGTGTCTAGTTAAGTTTCGAAAATGTCAAAATTTTTGCGAAATTTGAAGAAGGGGGGACCATTAAAAAATTTCAATTTTAAAAAAGTCGTCTAAAAATTATGAAAAAATTCAGAGACGTAGATCTCGACACGCTGATTCCAAAAATATAGCTTGTTGATGGTCAAGAAGCAACATTTTCGAAAAAATCGGGACGAAATGCGAATTTTTGAAAAATTCAAAAATTTCGATATTTCAACGGTCGATTCTAGAAAAACGGTTGCAGTTATCAAAAAACCGAGACGGGATATGAGTTCTAGAGCTCGAAATCTACAGGAAAATGTGTCTAGTTAAGTTTCGAAAATGTCAAAATTTTTGCGAAATTTGAAGAAGGGGGGACCATTAAAAAATTTCAATTTTAAAAAAGTCGTCTGAAAATTATGAAAAAATTCAGGGACGTAGATTTCGACACGCTGATTCCAAAAATATAGCTTGTTGATGGTCACGGAGCAACATTTTCGAAAAAATCGGGACGAAATGCGAATTTCTGAAAATTTCAAAAATTTCGATATTTCAACGGTCGATTCTAGAAAAACGGTTGCAATTATCAAAAAACCGAGACCGGATTTGAGTTCTAGAGCTCGAAATCTACAGGAAAATGTGTCTAGTTAAGTTTCGAAAATGTCAAAATTTTTGCGAAATTTGAAGAAGGGGGGACCATTAAAAAATTTCAATTTTAAAAAAGTCGTCTAAAAATTATGAAAAAATTCAGGGGCCTAGATCTCGCCACGCTGATTCCAAAAATATAGCTTGTTGATGGTCAAGAAGCAACATTTTCGAAAAAATCGGGACGAAATGCGAATTTTTGAGAATTTCAAAAATTTCGATATTTCAACGGTCGATTCTAGAAAAACGGTTGCAGTTATCAAAAAACCGAAACCTGATTTGATTTCTAGAGCTCGAAATCTACAGGAAAATGTGTCTAGTTAAGTTTCGAAAATGTCAAAATTTTTGCGAAATTTGAAGAAGGGGGGACCATTAAAAATTTCAATTTTAAAAAAGTCGTCTGATAATTATGAAAAAATTCAGGGACGTAGATCTCGCCACGCTGATACCAAAAATATAGCTTGTTGATGGTCACGGAGCAACATTTTCGAAAAAATCATGACGAAATGCGAATTTTTGAAAATTTCAAAAATTTCGATATTTCAACGGTCGATTCTAGAAAAACGGTTGCAATTATCAAAAAACCGAGACCGGATTTGAGTTCTAGAGCTCGAAATCTACAGGAAAATGTGTCTAGTTAAGTTTCAAAAATGTCAAAATTTTTGCGAAATTTGAAGAAGGGGGGACCATTAAAAAATTTCAATTTTAAAAAAGTCGTCTAAAAATTATGAAAAAAAATTCAATGACGTAGATCTCGACACGCTGATTCCAAAAATATGGCTTGTTGATGGTCACGGAGCAACATTTTCGAAAAAATCGGGACGAAATGGGAATTTTTGAAAATTTCAAAAATTTCGATATTTCAACGGTCGATTCTAGAAAAACGGTTGCAGTTATCAAAAAACCGAGACTGGATTTGAGTTCTAGAGCTCGAAATCTACAGGAAAATGTGTCTAGTTAAGTTTCGAAAATGTCAAAATTTTTGCGAAATTTGAAGAAGGGGGGACCATTAAAAAATTTAAATTTTAAAAAAGTCGTCTTAAAATTATAAAAAAATTCAGGGACGTAGATCTCGCCACGCTGATTCCAAAAATATAGCTTGTTGATGGTCAAGAAGCAACATTTTCGAAAAAATCGGGACGAAATGGGAATTTTTGAAAATTTCAAAAATTTCGATATTCAACGGTCGATTCTGGAAAAACGGTTGCAGTTATCAAAAAACCGAGACCGGATTTGAGTTCTAGAGCTCGAAATCTACAGGAAAATGTGTCTGGTGAAGTTTCGAAAATGTCAAAATTTTTGCGAAATTTGAAGAAGGGGCGACCATTAAAAAATTTCAATTTTCAAAAAGTCGTCTAAAAATTATGAAAAAATTCAGGGACGTAGATCTCGACACGCTGATTCCAAAAATATAGCTTGTTGATCGTCACGAAGCAACATTTTCGAAAAAATCGGGACGAAATGCGAATTTTTGATAATTTCAAAAATTTCGATATTTCAACGGTCGATTCTAGAAAAACGGTTGCAATTATCAAAAAACCGAGACCGGATTTGAGTTCTAGAGCTCGAAATCTACAGGAAAATGTGTCTAGTTAAGTTTCGAAATTGTCAAAATTTTTGCGAAATTTGAAGAAGGGGGGACCATTAAAAAATTTCAATTTTAAAAAAGTCGTCTGAAGATTATGAAAAAATTCAGGGACGTAGATCTCGACACGCTGATTCTAAAAATATAGCTTGTTGATGGTCACGAAGCAACATTTTCGAAAAAATCGGGACGAAACGCGAATTTTTGAAAATTTAAAAAATTTCGATATTTCAACGGTCGATTCTAGAAAAACGGTTGCAATTATCAAAAAACCGAGACCGGATTTGAGTTCTAGAGCTCGAAATCTACAGGAAAATGTGTCTAGTAAAGTTTCGAAAATGTCAAAATTTTTGCGAAATTTGAAGAAGGGGGGGACCATTAAAAAATTTCAATTTTAAAAAAGTCGTCTGAAAATAATGAAAAAATTCAGGGACGTAGATCTCGACACGCTGATTCCAAAAATATAGCTTGTTGATGGTCAAGAAGCAACATTTTCGAAAAAATCGGGACGAAATGCGAATTTTTTAAAATTCCAAAAATTTCGATATTTCAACGGTCGATTCTGGAAAAACGGTTGCAGTTATCAAAAAACCGAGACCGGATTTGAGTTCTAGAGCTCGAAATCTACAGGAAAATGTGTCTAGTTAAGTTTCGAAAATGTCAAAATTTTTGCGAAATTTGAAGAAGGGGGGACCATTAAAAAATTTCAATTTTAAAAAATTCGTCTAAAAATTATGAAAAAATTCAGGGACGTAGATCTCGACACGCTGATTCCAAAAATATAGCTTGTTGATGGTCAAGAAGCAACATTTTCGAAAAAATCGAGACGAAATGCGAATTTTTGAAAATTTCAAAAATTTCGATATTTCAACGGTCGATTCTAGAAAAACGGTTGCAGTTATCAAAAAACCGAGACCGGATTTGAGTTCCAGAGCTCGAAATCTACAGGAAAATGTGTCTAGTTAAGTTTCGAAAATGTCAAAATTTTTGCGAAATTTGAAGAAGGGGGGACCATTAAAAAATTTAAATTTTAAAAAAGTCGTCTGAAAATTATGAAAAAATTCAGGGACGTAGATCTCGACACGCTGATTCCAAAAATATAGCTTGTTGATGGTCACGGAGCAACATTTTCGAAAAAATCGGGACGAAATGCGAATTTTTGAAAATTTCAAAAATTTCGATATTTCAACGGTCGATTCCGGAAAAACGGTTGCAGTTATCAAAAAACCGAGAGCGGATTTGAGTTCTAGAGGTCGAAATCTACAGGAAAATGTGTCTAGTTAAGTTTCGAAAATGTCAAAATTTTTGCGAAATTTGAAGAAGGGGGGACCATTAAAAAATTTCAATTTTAAAAAAGTCGTCTGAAAATTATGAAAAAATTCAGGGACGTAGATCTCGACACGCTGATTCCAAAAATATAGCTTGTTGATGGTCAAGAAGCAATATTTTCGAAAAAATCGGGACGAAATGCGAATTTTTGAGAATTTCAAAAATTTCGATATTTCAACGGTCGATTCTAGAAAAACGGTTGCAGTTATCAAAAAACCGAGACCGGATTTGAGTTCTAGAGCTCGAAATCTACAGGAAAATGTGTCTAGTTAAGTTTCGAAAATGTCAAAATTTTTGCGAAATTTGAAGAAGGGGGGACCATTAAAAAATTTCAATTTTAAAAAAGTCGTCTGAAAATTATGAAAAAATTCAGGGACGTAGATCTCGACACGCTGATTCTAAAAATGTAGCTTGTTGATGGTCAAGAAGCAATATTTTCGAAAAAATCGGGACGAAATGCGAATTTTTTAAATTTTCAAAAATTTCGATATTTCAACGGTCGATTCTGGAAAAACGGTTGCAGTTATCAAAAAACCGAGACCGGATTTGAGTTCTAGGGCTCGAAATCTACAGGAAAATGTGTCTAGTTAAGTTTCCAAAATGTCAAAATTTTTGCGAAATTTGAAGGGGGGACCATTAAAAAATTTCAATTTTAAAAAAGTCGTCTAAAAATTATGAAAAAATTCAATGACGTAGATTTCGACACGCAGATTTAAAAAATATAGCATGTTGATGGTCACGAAGCAACATTTTCGAAAAAATCGGGACGAAATGCGAATTTTTGAAAAATTCAAAAAATTTCGATATTTCAACGGTCGATTCTACAAAAACGGTTGCAGTTATCAAAAAACCGAGACTGGATTTGAGTTCTAGAGCTCGAAATCTACAGGAAAATGTGTCTAGTTAAGTTTCGAAAATGTCAAAATTATTGCGAAATTTGAAGAAGGGGGGACCATTAAAAAATTTAAATTTTAAAAAAGTCGTCTAAAAATTATGAAAAAATTCAGGGACGTAGATCTCGACACGCTGATTCCAAAAATATAGCTTGTTGATGGTCACGGAGAAACATTTTCGAAAAAATCGGGACGAAATGCGAATTTTTGAAAATTTCAAAAATTTCGATATTTCAACGGTCGATTCTAGAAAAACGGTTGCAGTTATCAAAAAACCGAGACCGGATTTGAGTTCTATAGCTCGAAATCTACAGGAAAATGTGTCTAGTTAAGTTTCGAAAATGTCAAAATTTTTGCGAAATTTGAAGAAGGGGGGGACCATTAAAAAATTTCAATTTTAAAAAAGTCGTCTAAAAATTATGAAAAAATTCAGGGACGTAGATCTCGACACGCTGATTCTAAAAATGTAGCTTGTTGATGGTCAAGAAGCAACATTTTCGAAAAAATCGGGACAAAATGCGAATTTTTGAAAATTTCAAAAATTTCGATATTTCAACGGTCGATTCTGGAAAAACGGTTGCAGTTATCAAAAAACCGAGACCGGATTTGAGTTCTAGAGCTCGAAAACTACGAGAAAATGTGTCTAGTTAAGTTTCGAAAATGTCAAAATTTTTGCGAAATTTGAAGAAGGGGGGACCATTAAAAAATTTCAATTTTAAAAAAGCCGTCTGAAAATTATGAAAAAATTCAGGGACGTAGATCTCGCCACGCTGATTCCAAAAATATAGCTTGTTGATGGTCAAGAAGCAACATTTTCGAAAAAATCGGGACGAAATGCGAATTTCTGAAAATTTCAAAAATTTCGATATTTCAACGGTCGATTTTGGAAAAACGGTTGCAGTTATCAAAAAACCGAGACCGGATTTGAGTTCTAGAACTCGAAATCCACAGGAAAATGTGTCTAGTTAAGTTTCGAAAATCTCAAAATTTTTGCGAAATTTGAAGAAGGGGGGACCATTAAAAAATTTCAATTTTAAAAAAGTCGTCTGAAAATTATGAAAAAATTCAGGGACGTAGATCTCGACACGCTGATTCCAAAAATATAGCTTGTTGATGGTCACGAAGCAACATTTTCGAAAACATCGGGACGAAATGCGAATTTTTGAAAATTTCAAAAATTTCGATATTTCAGCGGTCGATTCTAGAAAAACGGTTGCAGTTATCAAAAAACCGAGACCGGATTTGAGTTCTAGAGCTCGAAATCTACAGGAAAATGTGTCTAGTTAAGTTTCGAAATTGTCAAAATTTTTGCGAAATTTGAAGATGGGGGGACCATTAAAAAATTTCAATTTTAAAAAAGTCGTCTGAAAATTATGAAAAAATTCAGGGACGTAGATCTCGACACGCAGATTTCAAAAATATAGCATGTTGATGGTCACGAAGCAACATTTTCGAAAAAATCGTGACGAAATGCGAATTTTTGAAAATTTCAAAAATTTCGATATTTCAACGGTCGATTCTCGAAAAACGGTTGCAGTTATCAAAAAAATTACTTAAGTTGTGTGAAAAAAGACACTGCTGTAGATGTGTCTAGACATACAAATGTGAAAAAAAAAAATCAAAATTGTGTAACATTTACAAATATGCAACTTTTTTCTAGAACTCAAGACGGTGATATTTTCCGTCGAAAAACTCAAGAAAAACTCCCTGAACAATTTCATTTCGGTTCCTTTCGAGGCAAACTCGTGGCAGGTCTTCGGGAGAGTCAAACTGGGGAGTGTTGTGAAGGACAGCAAGGACAAGTGTGTCGGGAAGGCCGTATTCCGGGACTATCTCGACAAAAGCGGGATCACGTACTTCGTGGACGTTCTGAACGCCGAAGAGGTCAACGAGGCCGCGGAAATAGTGATTTTTCTGCCGAAAAACAAGTCCATGGACGGCACTCCCAAAGTACTTCTAAATAAACCAGATTTTTCCAACAACTAAAATTAATTTTCAGTGTCTTGTCTATTACAACAACGGCTGGCGCTCCGAATGCAAAAAAATGCAAAACATAGCCAACTACGTCAAGTGCACTTGCAAGCACTTGGGCTACTACTAGTAAGTACGAAAATCGCGTGAATCACACTCATTTGAAACCGTAGCTTGGAGTACACTCAGACTACGAATTCTCCGGCGGTGACATCAACCACACTTCACACCCACCCAACGACGCCTCTGCCCGAAAAAATCCTAATCAACGCCAGCGAATCTTCATCGCAACTCACATCCGATAAAACGTCAAAAGGAAATTGTAAGTACCTTTCACATTTAATCATTTATTGAATTTTGCTTTACAAGATGACACAGTATCATACGTCGTAATCGCCGTTTCCGTTATCGGAATAATAATCCTGGCTGTCACCGTCCGAAAAATATTCCATGATGATGACGAGAACGAGGAGTCCGAAACGTTCGACTTCCCCAAGTACGCGCAGCTGCACAACGAGGAGTTTTTAAATGATGCACACATATAAGCACCGTGTTTTCAAAAAGTAAGTAAAAATAATAATACTATAGACTAGTTTAAGGTGAAGTGGTTTCAGTGTGTCACCTGCTGTTCCTCTGCTGTGGTTTCAAGATCTGGAAAAAAAAAATTAAAAGCACACTTGTTTGCGTTTGATTAAATAAATAAAGAGTTGATAAGAGTTTAATCTGTCTGAGTCATATAAAAACTGTGGCTTTTGCTAATCCTGATAATTACTACCGAAAGAAGGCGATTATAGATAGTGCGATGGGTTTCGTCAGCGTTACCTGGAAGGAGCACATCAGGTCCGTACTGACCGACATGAGGGCCCCCGCGTTGTCGAAACTGCCGCAGTAATTAGGGGCTGAGAAGACCGTGATTAGTTTTCTTTGGGCGAAAAATTCGTACCCGTCTTCCACCACCTGCAACCACACAAAACCAAAAAAACTAAATTTAGTGACTTTGTTGTTGTCTTACTTGGTGGCCTCTGCAAATCAAGTCGAAGTCGTGCTTATCCAAAAACTTTGACACCACGTCTGGTCCGAAAGAAAACGACACCCCTCGGTCGTTATCGTGCCAACCTAGCTGGGGTGTCGGATCCGCCCATAGTAAGTCACACAGCAACCCAGAGGCGGGGACGTCACAAGGTCGCTCTATATTTCGAATCTGCCCTATATGTAACAAATCGGGACTTATGCCCCCATGGCAACAAAAAATCTTGTCATCGATCACCGCCGCCACTGGTAACGTGTTAAAAACGTCGGTGAAAGTTTTGAAAAGTTTGACATTGTAGCGACGTTTGCCTGTAAGTAACGACTTTAAGACGACTTATTGACTTAAGTACGATAGTTACATTCGTCGAAAAATCCGTAAATTTTGCACACAGAGGCCACTTCGTGGTTGCCACGTAACAAAAAAAAGTTCTCAGGGTATTTAATCTTGTAAGCGAGAAGGAGACAGATGCACTCGAGCGACTGTTTTCCTCTATCTACGTAGTCCCCCAGAAAGAGATAGTTAGCTTCTGGTGGAAACCCCCCGAAGCCGAAGAGCTTCAAAAGGTCGCTGTACTGACCGTGAATGTCACCTAGAAATCGTAATAAGACACAGCGAAAAAACCGACTTTGTGTATACCGCAGATTTTTAGTGGAGCTTCCAACTCCAGAAGCATTGGTTGTTCTAGAAAAATTTGCATAGCTTTTTGACACAAAGCATTAATGTCATCTTCTTTCAAGTTGACTTTTTTAGTTTTATTGCCATCACGAGCTACAAATAATTCAAAATTTTGTTTTTTTGAAAAATCGTCAAATCGGCTTACCGTTGAGCAAACTTTCGATGATTTTGTCCACGTTAAACGGAGCCATTTGTCACAACACGTATCAGCTGCATCACTACACAAACATTTTTTTTAAATATGAAGCGATAAGTGGTTGATAAATAAAACGTGATTATGATTAGATCCTTGTATTTATAATCAAGCAGATATAAACATAATACTCTGGTAATTCCTACAAATGCAATAAATTGAGGCGAACATCGTTATCTTGCAAAAGCAATTTGTATTTATTTTTAGGGATTCGTTTCAGCGTGACGTGGTGCAAAAACTTGCGAAACCACTCCCGGTCGGAGACGGCCACCTAAAAAACACTCGCTTGAGCTCGGGTCGCACTTTTTTTGGTCGTACCTCTATGAAGACCGCCGCCAGGAGGTGTCCAATCGGAATCAGCAGCAACTTGTACCTGAAATCGACCTGCTCGTGGGCGCGGTGCGGCAGAAACATGATCTCGAAAAACTCGGCCACTGCTTTCGACGGAGCTATGAGCAGCCAGACTTGAAAGCACGATAGGGCGACAGCGCACGCCAGAAACCACCCGTTGTGGATGAGGGTTTGCCGGTAGGGTCGCCCTTTGGAGTAAACGAAGGCTAGAATGACGTACTGGAAGGAGGAAACGGCAAAAAGGACAGTGTTTTCCCAGCAGACGATGACCTCTTCTTTGCTTTTAGGGGGCACGGGTTTGAACCAGTCCTGTTGGTACAAGTACACGAGAGTCCCGATTTGGACGAAGACGCAAAGAAAAATTTGGAGAAAAATTGGAACGAGAGTGGCAGCGGCGACTAAAGACCCTGGGGGTCGTTTCGCCCCTAGTCTTTTTGAAGGACCTTGGCGCCCAATGGTCACTGCGAGACTCGTCGTGATTACTAAATCGATGAAGAGGAACTGGACGTCGCCTAGGATCGAGTGTTGCTGCAATTTTTGTTATTGTTTCAAAAAAAAAAACACACTAAAATTTATTAAATAATCATACCCTGTATAGAATTAAAACTGTTGTGAATTGTATCAAACTGTACAGCGCCATGTACTTGAAGACGGCGAAACTGGTCACTAGCGCGCAGCGGCCTTCTAAAATCAAATGAACTAAACAAGATATATCCTGGATCGCTGATGTGAACGGAGCGGCAACGCTCGCCTCAGCTTGCGACAACGACACTCCAACGTGTGCCGCTTTCAAAGCCTGTGGACGATTTTATTATTTTTGGATTACGTGGTGTTCGATTTTTACCCCGCAGTCGTTCGCGCCGTCCCCCACCATCGACACAACGTAATCCAGACTCTGTAAATAGGTTATCAACTGTGTTTTTTGGTCGGGTTGGAATCTGGCGAAGACCGTCGTTCGCATTAGTAAGTTTGGCAACAGGTCTGGGTAGAAGGTCTTAATTTTGGTCCAGGTTCTCCCGTCGATGGCTAGGTGGCACTTCTGCAAGGTTTAAATGTACGTTTACGAGGAAATTTCTAGAGGGAGTCGTACCGTGACGTCGATGTCTATAGACACGCTGCTAGTCGGAGTACTGGCTGTACTTTCTAACACTAATTCTGGAAGCACGTTTTGGTCGTCGTTTCTTGTGTTTCTAGTGTTTAAAATAAAAATCTGATCGGTTTCTTTCACCATTTCGCAATCGCGTGCTACAGAAATTGCGGTTAGAATGTTGTCGCCTGGAAAAATATTGTTAATGGACGCAATGGAAAGTGTGATCGGCGTCTACACAAAATTTTATTAACAAAAGATACCGAGTTATCGATAAATTAGGTTTTTGAAGTTTCTAAGCCACGATTGACTGATAAAGTGACAGCTTAATCCTTGTCGGGATTCCCGAACACAAAATTTATGGTAAAAAAATCAGAACTTCCCTCGCCTCTGAAGTATAACAAATCCTGATTTTTTTTCTTCAGTTTTTCGATTTGTAATTTTTGAATTTTTGAATTTTCAATTTCTCGACTATTTAATATTTAATTTATTTCTAGTTAATAATTTTCAGATTTTTCAAATTTCAATTTTTTTGATTTTTGCTTTCTTCAATTTTTCCATTTTTCTTGTTTCTTAGATTTTACGATATGCATTTATTCGAGTTTCAATTTTTTTATTTTTGTATTATCTATTTTTCAATGTTTCGTTTTCACAAATTTTACGACTTTGCAATTTTTCGATTTTTTTATTTTATGAATTTTTTCAAGTATTCGATTTTTCGTATTTCGATTTTATAATTTTTGTTTTTTCCATTTTTGTTACTTCAGTTTTTCTATTTGCATTTTTTTCATTTTTCTTGTTTCTTCAATTCTTCGATTTTTTTTTCTATTTTTCATTGTTTCGTTTTCACAAATTTGTTTCCAATTCATTTCAAATGCGTTTAATAATAATTATACTTTTAATTTTTTTTAGTTTTTCAATTTTACGATTTTAGAATTTTTCCATTTTTTTTTCAATTATTTGATTTTAAAGCGCCTTGATTTATTCGATTTTTCAATTTTTCGATCTTTCAATATTGCAATTTTAACGATGCTATAATTTTTCGATTTTGCAATTTTAGTTAGTTAGTTTCTCGAGTTTCCAATTTTTAATTTTTCAATTTATCGTTTGGGTGTATTTTCTTTATTTTTTTCAATTATTCGATTTTTCATATTTTGATTTTATAATTTTTGTTTTTGAATTTTTCAATTTTTCGCTTTTAGTTTCTTGAGTTTTCAATTTTTAATTTTTCAATTTTTCGTTTGGGTTTTATATTTTATGAATTTTTTCAAAAATTCGATTTTTCATATTTCGATTCTATAATTTTTTGTTTTTTCAATTTCAATTTTTTCAATTTTTCGTATTCAATTTTTCGATTTTTTCATATTTTTTTGTTTATTCGATTTTAGGATATGCATCTCTTCGAGTTTTCATTGTTAAATTTTTCAATTTTCCAATTTACCAACTTTTGTATGTTGAATTTTTTTCCTTTAAATTTTCAATTATTCTATTTTTCAATGATTCGTTTTCACATTTTTTTTTCAATTTTAATTTTTTCAATGATTCGATATTTCATATTTCAATTTTACAACTTTTTTTTTTTCAATTTTATTTTTTCAATTGGTCGATTTTTTGTTTTTTTTGTTTCTTCGATTTTACGGCCTGAATCTCTTCGATTTTTCATTTTAAAATTTTTCAATTATCCGATTTACCAACTTTTGTATGTTTAAACTTTTTTTCCTTTATATTTTCAATTATTCTATTTTTCAATTTTTGATTTGCAATTTTTCTAGTTTTCATTTTAAATGTAATCTAGTAATAATTATGATTTTAAAATTTTTTCACTTTTTCAATTTTATAACTTTAGAATTTTCCCATTTTTCCAATTATTGGAGTTTCTCGATTTTTAGTTTTTCAACGTTTCAATTTTTCGTTTCTTCAGTTTTGCAATTTCTGATTTTCTACTTTTTTTCAGCATTTCGATTTTTCTATTTTTTCCGATTTTTTAGTTTTTTTGATTCTTAATTTTTCGCCATTTGTACTTTTAGAATCAAAAAAATGTCAAAAATTGCAAAGCTGTTAAACTGAAAAATCAAAAATGAAAAAGCGAAAAAGTATAAAATGAAAACTTTGAAAAATCTAAAAACTGGAAATCCCAAAATTTAAAAAGCGGGAAAAAGTTTGAGAAATTTCGATTTTTCAATTTTTCCATTTTTCGACTTTTCGATTACATATTCGAAATCTGTTTTCCAATTTTAATTTTTCGGTTTTTCGAATATGTGTTTGATTTATCGAGTTTTCAGCAATCGCATTTTCAATTTGTTTCTTTTTCAGGTTTTCGATTTTTCAACCTTTTTATTTTTCGAATTTTTGATTTTTAGATTTTACAATGGCATTCTTTACTTTTTAGATTTTTCGGTTTTTTTAATTTTCGATTTCTTGAATTTTCAACTTTTCCATTCTCGAGTTTTTCAACTTTTCGATTTTTTTTATTTCTGGAGTTCTCGATTTATCGAATCATTCTCATTTACCAAAATCAGAATTAACTTAGCAGATTCTAGCCCCGCCCACCCACCCTCTATTTTCTTAGAGGGTATATCATTTGCCAAAATCGATTTTATACCAAGTACTAACCCGAATTTTTGATTTTTCAAAATTTCAAATTTTCAATATTCTAGTTTTAAAATTATTTCACTTTCAATTTCTCAACTTTTAATTTTTTCCGTTTTTCGAATTTTCGATTTTAGAATTTTTGATTTTTCGGTTTTTCGATTTCTGATTTTTAGATTTTCGGTTTTCGATTTTTAGATTTTCGAATTTTCGGTTTTCTGATTTCTCTATATTCGAATTTTCAAATGTGTCCCTCCCGATTTGCCGATTTTTCAATTCTTCTGTTTTTCGATTTTTCAACTTTTTTACTTTTCTTTTTTTTGATTTCCCGAGTTATCAGTTTTCGTTACTAGAATCTATTCTTTTTTCGAAATTTAACTTTTCGAATTTTCGATATTCTAGTTTTCAATTTTTTAATAAATTTCAATTTCCCGATTTTTCCATTTTTCGACTTTTCGGTTTTTAGATTTTCGAATTTTCGGTTTTCCGATTTTCGCTTTTCGAATATTTGATTCATCGAATTTTCGATGTCACGGTTTTTCAATTTTCCATTCTTCAGTTCTTGGATTTTTGAAGTTTCAATTTTTTAACTTTTTTACTTTTCGATTTAAAACTGAAATAAAATCCAGAAAATGAAATTTCTAAAATTGGGAAAATAAAAAATTAAAATCAAGAACTTGAAAAATCGAAGAAACGAAAAATTGAAAAATTAAAAACTAGTAAACTCAAAAATAGTAATATCGAAAAATTGCAAATCGATAAACTGAAAAATCGAATAATTGAGAAATCTGGAAGTAGCGAAATTAAAAAACTGAAAAAAAAAATTTAAAAAGTTGCACAAACGAAAAATTATGAAACCGATTTTTTTATTTTTCAATTTTTCCTTGCGTTTTTTTAGTTTTTTCATTTTTTATTTGTCATATTTCGATTTTATAATTTTTGTTTTTTAATTTTAATTTTTTCAATTTTTGTTTCATCAGTTTTTCGTTTTGCGATTTTTCAATTTTTTATTTTTCTTGTTTGTTCAAATTCTCGATTCTTTAATCTTTCATTTATTTTTGCAATTTTTTGTTTTTTTATGTTCGGATTTTTATAAGTTTTTGTTTTTTCAATTTCAATTTTTCGATTTTTCGTTTCTTCAAATTTTAGGATTTTCATTTTTAAATTTTTCAATTTTCCGATTTACCAACTTTTGAATGCTTATTTTTTTTTTTCCTTTATATTTTCAATTATTTTATTTTTCGTTTACACATATTTGTTTTCAATTTAATTTTTTTCAATTATTATTCGTTTCTTCAACTTTTGATTTGCAATTTTTCTAGTTTTCATTTTAAATATGTGTCTAATAATTATTATAATTTAAAAAAAATCACTTTTTCAATTTACGATTTTAGAATTTTTCCATTTTTTCAATTATTGGAGTTTCTCGATTTTTAGTTTTTCAGTGTTTCTTCAGTACTTTATTTTGCAATTTTTGATTTTCGATTTTTTCTGTTTTTCTTCAGCATTTCGATTTTTCTATTTTTTTTTATTCTTAATTTTTCGCTATTTGTACTTTTCGAATAAAAAAATTGTAAAAATTGCAAAGCTGTAAAATTGAAAAATCAAAAATGAAAATACGAAAAAGTATAAAATGAAAACTTTGAAAAATCTAAAAATCAAGAATTGGAAAAATTGAAACGAAAAATTTAAAAATTGAGAAACCCAACAATTTAAAAATTGGGAAAAAGTTTGCGAAATTTCGATTTTTCAATTTTTTCATTTTTCGACTTTTCGATTACATATTCGAAATCTGTTTTCGGGATTTAAAATTTTCGGTTTTTAGATTTTCAAATCCGATTTTCATTTTTCGAATATTTGATTTATCGAGTTTTCGAGATTCGAATTTTCAATTTGTGTCCTTTTCAATGTCCCGATTTTTCAATTTTCCATTCTTCAGTTGTTAGACTTTTCAATTTTTCCATTCTTCAGTTTTTCGATTTTTCAACTTTTTATTTTTCGAATTTTTGATTTCTCGAAAAAAGGAATTGCGTTCCTCGAATTTTTTATTCATTAATTTTTACGCTTTTCAGTTTTTTAATTTTCGATTTTTTTGATTTCTCGAGTTCTTGATTTGTCGAATCGAGACTCTCATTTTCCAAAATGAGTCTTAACTTAGCCGGTTCTGGCCCCGCCCACCTTTTTTATATGGTATCTCATTTGCCAAAATCGATCTTATTTCAACAGGTACTAGCCCCGCCCACCCACCCTCTCTTTTCTTATAGGATATGTCATTTGCCAAAATCAATCTTATTTTATACCAGGTATAAAATAAGATTGATTTTTAATATTCTAGTTTTGAATTTTTTCAATTTCTCAATTATTCATTTTTTCCGTTTTTTGACTTTTCGATTTTTCGATTCCCGATTCCCGATTTTTAGATTTTAGGTTTTTCGATTTCCGATTTTTAGGTTTTCGAATTTTCGGGGATTTGCCGATTTTTCAATTCTTCTGTTTTTCGATTTTTCAACTTTTTTCCTTTTCTTGTTTTTGATTTCCCGAGTTTTCAATTTTCATTACTAGAATTTTCAATCTTATCTTTTTTCGAAATTTAACTTTTCGAATTTTTAGTTTTAGAAACTTCGATATTCTAGTTTTCAATTTTTTAAATTTCAATTTCTCGATTTTTCCATTTTTCGACTTTTCGAATTTTCGGTTTTCCGATTTTCGCTTTTCGAATATTTGATTCATCGAATGTTCGATGTCCCGATTTTTCAATTTTCCATTCTTCAGTTCTTGGATTTTTGAAGTTTCAATTTTTCAACTTTTTTACTTTTCTTGTTTTTGATTTCCCGAGTTTTCAATTTTCGTTACTAGAATTTTCAATCTTATCTTTTTTCGAAATTTAACTTTTCGAATTTTTAGTTTTAGAAACTTCGATATTCTAGTTTTCAATTTTTTAAATTTCAATTTCTCGATTTTTTCATTTTTCGACTTTTCGAATTTTCGGTTTTCCGATTTTCGCTTTTCGAATATTTGATTCATCGAATTTTCGATGTCCCGATTTTTCAATTTTCCATTCTTCAGTTCTTGGATTTTTGAAGTTTCAATTTTTCAACTTTTTTACTTTTCAATTTAAAACTAAAATAAAATCCAGAAAATGAACATTCAAAAATTTATTATCTGACTTGTGTAAAACTGTATTTGTAAGTTTTTAACACCAACAAAGTATTGATTTATTGATTGATTCAAAAATTGGGAAAACGAAAAATTAAAATCAAGAAGTTGAAAAATTGAAGAAAAAAAATTAAAAATTGGTAAACTGAAAAATCGTAATATCGAAAAATATCAAATCAATAAATTGAAGAATCAAAAATTGACAAATCTGGAAGTAGTGAAATTAAAAAACTAAAAAAAAAGCTGTAAAAACGAAATATTATGAAACCGAATTTTTAATTTTTCAATTTTTCGTTGGTTTTTTTTTAGTTTAATTTTTTCAATTTTTCTTTCTTCAATTTTTCGATTTTTTATTTTTTTTTTGTTTCTATTTTTCAATGTTTCATTTTAACAAATTTGTTTTCAATTTTTTTAATTTTCATTTTAGTAATAATTTTAAAAAATTTTCACTTTTTCAATTTTAGGACTTTAAAATTTGTCCATTTTTTCAATTCATGGATTTTAAAGCTTCTTCATTTATTCGAATTTTCAATTTTTCGATCTTTCTGTATTACAATTTTTTGAATTTGAAATTTTAACGATTATATTCGATTTTGCAATTTCTGAATTTTGCAAATTTTTCGATTTGAGATTCTCGAGTTTTCAATTTTTTAGGTTTTTTATTTTATTAATTTTTTCAAATATTCGACTTTTCATATTTCGATTTTATGTGTTTTTTCACGTTTAATTTTTTCAATTTTCGCTTCTTCATTTTCTCGATTCTTTAATCTTTCACTTATTTATACAATTTTTTGATTTTTCAATGTTCCGATTTTATAGTTTTTTGGTTTTTCAGTTCCAATTGTTTCGATTTTTCGATTCTTCAATTTTTCGATTTTTTCATTTTTTTTGTTTCTTCGATTTTACGATATGCATCTCTTCGAGTTTTCATTTTTAAATTCAATTTTATTTTTTTCAATTATTTTCTTCAGTTTTTGATTTGCAATTTTTCTAGCTTTTCTAATTTTTCGGTTAGATTCATTTTTTCTTTCTTCCAATTTTTCAGTGCTCTATTTTGCAATTTTTGATTTTCCACTTTTTTCTATTTTGCAAATTTTTGTTTCATCAGTTTTTTATTTTTGAATTTTTGCCGGTTGTTTGGTTTTTTATTTTCAGTTTTTAGATATTTAAAATTTTCGAATGAAAAAAACGCAAAAATTGCAAAATTGTAAAACTGAAAAACCCAAAAACTGGAAATCAAGAATTGGAACAACTTGAAGGCCAAAAAACTACAAAATCGAGAAAACGAAATACAGAAAATTAAAGACATCGGAAAATCGGATAATTGAGAAATCCAAAAATTTAAAAATAGAGGAATTGAACAACCGAAAATTGAAAATTTTAAAAATTGAATAAACGAAAAATATAGGGAATTAAAAAACGAAAAAATGCGAAATAAAATCCAGAAAATGAAAAACTTGAAAAATTGAGAAAACAAAAACTTGAAAAATCGAAAAATTGAAAAAATTAATTATGAAACCGAAACTTTGAAAAATGGAAAAAATTGCCAAATTAAAGAAAATGAGGGAATATGAAAAATTGTGATATAAAAAAATTGACCGAAAATTTAAAAAATCAGATTTTTCGCAAAATTATAAGATTTGATTTTGCGAATTTTACTTTTTTATGTAATATATAACTAATAAATAAAAACAAATATACTATTTTTTCATACTCTAGGGGTCATGAAACGTCAAAAAAACACAAGACTAGGTAGTCAGCCGACGGACTCGATTACAATACTTCCTTGGCTTACTCTCGTCAAGTAAAAATTACAAACTAACCTGTAATCATCACAGTCCTAATATTAGCATTGTGCAAAACCTTAATCACGGGCGTCGTCTCCGGCTTCAAAGTATTCTGCATCACCAACAACCCCAAAAAAATCAAATCACACTCGATCTACAACCAACCAATCAAACCCAACCCCCGCACGACTCCCCTCCCCCACTTACCACATCCCTCTTCGCCCTTTGCGCCTCCTTCCACTTAAACTTCTCCGACATCTCCTTATAAGCCAACCCTATAACCCTATAACCCCGCCCCGCGTACTTCGACAACCTCACCACAAAATCTTCCGGCAGCGTCTCCGGCTGACACATAGTCAAAACCTTCTCAGGGGCACCTTTAGCAAAAGCCACCATATTCTGCGAATTCAACTCTCGACAAATCACAGACATGCACTGCAAAGTCGAGGAGAAGGGGAACTGGCGGATGATTCCGATTTGGTACGGGAACTGCAAACCAACAACAATCAACCAATGATAATCATTGTCGCGATTAGTTACATCAGGGGAGTCTCCTGCTTCTTTCAGAGGTTTGTCGGGCTTGACTATAGTAGGGGCGATCATGTCGTATCTTGCGGTTTCGTCTTCACCGGGCTCTTCCAGGTGCTACAATTCGATTGATTGAGTGATTGGGGCGTGGCGAAGATGGTCAGAGGGCGTGGCTTACCCATCCCGTGAACTCGAACATGCTCAAATCCAGCGGATCGCCGGTCAGTTTTTCGTCGATTTGGGTGAGGGAGTGGCACGTCGCCATGGCTTGAACTAACCTATCCCCGGTTTCTAGGTACTGGCAGTCTGTGATTGGCTCGGTGAACTTGGCCTGAGCGACGGGGACGACCGAGTGCATGTCGAGACCGTCGTGGGTCAGAGTGCCCGTTTTGTCGAAACAGGCCAACTTGACTTTGCCGCACACGTTGATTTTGGGCGGGCTTATGCAAAATATCTTGAGTTTTTTGAGGCGGCTTTGGCTGTAGACTATACCTACTGTCATGGCGGCGGGGAGAGCCGGGGGTACGACGATGGTTATTATGTCTAGGCTGCGAATCACCATTTCCATGATTTTTGCCTACAATTAATGTCACTATTTTTTTTTTTTGTTTGTGGGTTAAATGATTGTGTACAATCGCACGCAAATGTTTTGAGCCTATGGGCGGATCATTTTTGCCGGTCGTCACCGAAGGAGGCGGTCCAAATCGTCCAAGGGCAGAATTTGTAGGTAGGCTCAAACTATAACGAAATTTACGTGTTGACCAAATTCTTACCCTGAATTAGTTTTAATTTTATAAATACTCTGAATTAATTTTAATTTTATAAATACCCTATCTATCTAAAATGTTCAGAATATGATGAGTCTATACTTGTGATTTACCATTCCATTAATATTTTTTGGATTTGTTTATACATACAGGGTGACTCAAAAAAAATGACTGAGTCAATTTATTTTATTGAAGAAATCAAGAATTGCAAAACTGAATACTTTGAAATCTTGTCAATTAGTTAGAAAAAAAAAACCTGTCCTGCTCTAATAACATCGAGAATATGCTCAAAATCACACTAATATTAGGTCTAATTGTGCCGACCATAGTTATAAAATTCACATTAAAGTAAGTCACGGACATTTTTTGAAGTGTACTATATTTCTATACCTGTGATTTATCATTGCAGTAATATTTTTTAGATTTACTTATACAGCCTGTCTCAAAAAAAGGTCACTTCGATTTTCGATTTTTCGTTTTTTCGACCAACAGTTTCATCGAATTAGATTTTTCAGTTTCCATTTTTCTATCAACTTTTCGATTTTATTACTTTCTAATTTTCTGATTTTTCAAATTTGCGGTATTTTGATTTTTCGAGTTTTCAGTTTTTTCGTTTTTCGATTTTTAATTTTTCGTTTTTTTGATGTTTCGATGTTTCGATTTTTTAATTTGCCATTCTTTCAATTTTCGATTTTTCGTCTTTCCATTTTTAGATTTTTTGATTTTTCTGTTCGTCAGTTTTTAGACTGCAATTTTTTTGCATTTTTCGATTATATTTTACTTTCCGATTTTTTTGATTTTTGAATTCTCGATTTTACGTTTTTAATTCTTCGATTTCCGATTTTTCAATTTTACTGTTTTTTAATTATTCTATTCTCGATAAAATTTTTCGATTTTTCGGTTGTTTTACTTTTCGACCTTCAATTTTTCAACATTCGATTATTCGATTTTCCATTTTCTGATTTTACGATTTTTCGATTTGCCATTTTTCGATTTTCGTTTTTCCGCTTTTGTGGTTTTTCGATTTTTCTGTTTGTTTCAGTTTTTATGGTTCTGCAATTTGCAGCTTTTAGATTTCAATTTTGTGACTTTCCGATTTTCCACTTTTCGATTTTTTTTCGATCGTCGTTTTTTCGATTTTAATTTTTTCGATTTTTTGATTTTTCAATTTTTAAGCCTTGCAATTTTTTTACTTTTCGCTTTTTCGAGTATTTGTTTCATCGAATTTTCGAGTTTTCGATTTTTCGGTTTTTCATTTTCCGATTTTCGATTTTTCGATTTTCCATGTTTAGATATTTTTCGATTTTTTTTTATTTTTCGATTGTTCTGTTCGTCAGTTTTGAGACTTTGCAATTTTTACTTTTCCACTTTTCTATTATTTTAGTTTCGGATTATTCGATTTTTGAATTTTCGTTTTTTTTTAATTTTTCGATTTCCAATTTTTTAATTTTTCGATTTTTCGGTTTTGTAATTTGTCGATTCTCGATATTCCGATTTTCGATTTTCCAATCTTCGATTTTTCAATTTCCAGTTTTCGATTTTCCACTTTTTGATTTTACGATTTTTCGATTTTTCTGTTCGTCAGTTTTTAGGCTTTGCAATTTGTTTACTTTTCGATTTTTCGATTATTTTTTTCCAGTTTTTTGATTTTTGAATTGTCGACTTTTAGAGTTTTCAATATTATGAATTTTCGAATTTTCGGTTTTCCTATTTTTCGATTTTTGATTTTTCCATTTTTCGGTTTTTTGATTTTTCAATTTTCGGTTTTTCAATCTTGCAAATTTTCGATTTTTCAGATTTGTGAATTTCCAGTTTTTCCATCGACCTACGTATTAGATTCATTGAATTTTCGATTTTCGGTTTTTCCATTTTTAGATTATTGATTTTCCAGTTTTGTATTTTCAGATTTTCTGTTTTTCGCATATCTGATTTATCAAATTTTCGAGAAATCGAAAATTCAAAAAACTGAAAAATCGAAAAATGTAAGATTTAAAAACTCGCAATATTTTGAAAATCGAATAAGTAAAATATCAAAAAAAAAAAACAGAAAGTCGCAAAATCTAAAAATTTAAAAATGAAAATACATATTGAAAAATCTGAAAATTGAAAAATCTCAAAATATAAACATTGAAAATTTGAGCAATCCAGAAATCGGAAAGCCGAAAAATCGAAAAGTCGAGAAATTATAAAATCGATTAATCCAGAAATTGAGAAATCGAAAAATCCAAAAATTTAGAAACGCCAAAAATTGAAAAATCGAAAAATTTAAATACATAAATCCCATAACAGAAAGTTGAAAAAAAGTAAAATCGAAAAACCGAAAAGATGAATTATCGAAAAACTGAGAAATCGAGAAATCGAAAAATTGAGAAATGCCAGTGGCTAAAAATCGAAAAATGGGACAATTAAAAAAAAAACATTTGAACTAAAAAAATGATAAACCGAAAAAGTGAAAAATCGGAAAATTAAAAACCGATTAATCGAGAAATTGCGAAAACGAAAAATCCAAAAATTTAGAACCGCCAAAAATTGAAAAATTGAGAAATCGAAATATGTAAATACATAAATCCCAAAACTGAAAATAAACCCAAAAAGTTTTCCTATTTTTCGATTTTTGATTTTTCAATTCTCGGTTTTTCAATCTTGCAAATTTTCGATTTTTCAGATTTGTGAATTTCCAGTTTTTCCATCGACCTACGTATTAGATTCATTGAATTTTCGATTTTCGGTTTTTCCATTTTTAGATTTTTGATTTTCCAGTTTTGTATTTTCAGATTTTCTGTTTTTCGCATATCTGATTTATCAAATTTTCGATTTTTCGGCTTTTCGATTTTTCGATATTTGATTTTCGAATTTTCGATTGTTCAGTTTTCCATTTTTCAGCTTTTAGACTTCATTTTTTTTACTTTTCGATTTTCCAAATTTTCGAGTTTCAATTTTCAGATTTTTGATTTTTCGATTTTCTTTTTAAATTTTTGAATTTTTCGGTTTTGATTTTTCGAATTTTTGATTTTTAATTTTTCCATTCTTCGGTTTTTAGACTTAAATTTTCTTTCTTTTAAATTTTTCGATATTCTATTTTCCGCTTTTCAGAATTTTCGATTTTCAGTTTTCAGACTTTCGATGATTAGAATTTTGGATTTTTCAATTCATCGATTTTTCTATGTTCAATTTTTCAATTTAAATTTTGCGATTTTCAATTTGTCCATTGTCGATTTTTAGAATTTTCGGTTTTTCAATTTTTCCATTCTCAACTGTTAGACTTCAATTTTGTTACTTTCCGATTTTTTGGTTTTCGATTTTCCAATTTTCAGAATTTCCAAGTTTCTTTATTCAGAATTTCGGTTTTTCCATTTTTAGATTTTTGATTTTCCAGTTTTGTATTTTCAGATTTTCTGTTTTTCACGTATCTGATTTATCAAATTTTCGATTTTTCGGCTTTTCGATTTTTCGATTGTTCAGTTTTCCATTTTTCAGCTTTTAGACTTCAATTTTTTTATTTTTCGATTTTCCAAATTTTCGAGTTTCAATTTTCAGATTTTTGATTTTTCGATTTTCTTTTTAAATTTTTGAATTTTTCGGTTTTGATTTTTCGAATTTTTGAGTTTTAATTTTTCCATTCTACGGTTTTTAGACTTCAATTTTCTTTCTTTTAAATTTTTCGATATTCTATTTTCCGCTTTTCAGAATTTGCGATTTTCACTTTTCAGACTTTCGATGATTAGAATTTTGGATTTTTCAGTTATATGATTTTTCGATTTTTAGAAAATTTGAGTAGTCGAATTTTCGATTTTTCAATTCATCGATTTTTCTATGTTCAATTTTTCAATTTAAATTTTGCGATTTTCAATTTGTCCATTGTCGATTTTTAGAATTTTCGGTTTTTCAATTTTTCCATTCTCAACTGTTAGACTTCAATTTTGTTACTTTCCGATTTTTTGGTTTTCGATTTTCCAATTTTCAGAATTTCCAAGTTCCTTTATTCAGATTTTCGGTTTTTCCATTTTTAGATTTTTGATTTTCCAGTTTTGTATTTTCAGATTTTCTGTTTTTCACGTATCTGATTTATCAAATTTTCTATTTTTCAGCTTTTCGATTTTTCGATTGTTCAGTTTTCCATTTTTTCAGCTTTTAGACTTCAATTTGTTTATTTTTCGATTTTCCAAATTTTCGAGTTTCAATTTTCAGATTTTTGATTTTTCGATTTTCTTTTTAAATTTTTGAATTTTTCGGTTTTGATTTTTCGAATTTTTGATTTTTAATTTTTCCATTCTTCGGTTTTTAGACTTCAATTTTCTTTCTTTTAAATTTTTCGATATTCTATTTTCCGCTTTTCAGAATTTGCGATTTTCAGTTTTCAGACTTTCGGTGATTAGAATTTTGGATTTTTCAGTTTTATGATTTTTCGATTTTTAGAAAATTTGAGTAGTCGAATTTTCGATTTTTCAATTCATCGATTTTTCTATGTTCAATTTTTCAATTTAAATTTTGCGATATTCAATTTGTCCATTGTCGATTTTTAGAATTTTCGGTTTTCAATTTTTCCATTCTCAACTGTTAGACTTCAATTTTGTTACTTTCCGATTTTTTGGTTTTCGATTTTCCAATTTTCAGAATTTCCAAGATTCTTTATTCAGATTTTCGGTTTTTCCATTTTTAGATTTTTGATTTTCCAGTTTTGTATTTTCAGATTTTCTGTTTGTCACGTATCTGATTTATCAAATTTTCGGCTTTTCGATTTTTCGATTGTTCAGTTTTCCATTTTTCAGCTTTTAGACTTCAATTTTTTTATTTTTCGATTTTCCAAATTTTCGAGTTTCAATTTTCAGATTTTTGATTTTTCGATTTTCTTTTTAAATTTTTGAATTTTTCGGTTTTGATTTCTCGAATTTTTGATTTTTAATTTTTCCATTCTTCGGTTTTTAGACTTCAATTTTCTTTCTTTTAAATTTTTCGATATTCTATTTTCCGCTTTTCAGAATTTTCGATTTTCAGTTTTCAGACTTTCGGTGATTAGAATTTTGGATTTTTCAGTTTTATGATTTTTCGATTTTTAGAAAATTTGAGTAGTCGAATTTTCGATTTTTCAATGCATCGATTTTTCCATGTTTAATTTTTCAATTTAAATTTTGCGATTTTCAATTTGTCTATTGTCGATTTTTAGAATTTTCGGTTTTTCAATTTTTCCATTCTCAACTGTTAGACTTCAATTTTGTTACTTTCCGATTTTTTGGTTTTCGATTTTCCAATTTTCAGAATTTCCAAGTTTCTTTATTCAGATTTTCGGTTTTTCCATTTTTAGATTTTTGATTTTCCAGTTTTGTATTTTCAGATTTTCTGTTTTTCACGTATCTGATTTATCAAATTTACGATTTTTCGGCTTTTCGATTTTTCGATTGTTCAGTTTTCCATTTTTCAGCTTTTAGACTTCAATTTTTTTATTTTTCGATTTTCCAAATTTTCGAGTTTCAATTTTCAGATTTTTGATTTTTCGATTTTCTTTTTAAATTTTTGAATTTTTCGGTTTCGATTTTTCGAATTTTTGATTTTTAATTTTTCCATTCTTCGGTTTTTGGACTTAAATTTTCTTTCTTTTAAATTTTTCGATATTCTATTTTCCGCTTTTCAAAATTTTCGATTTTCAGTTTTCAGACTTTCGTTGATTAGAATTTTGGATTTTTCAGTTTTATGATTTTTCGATTTTTAGAAAATTTGAATAGTCGAATTTTCGATTTTTCAATTCATCGATTTTTCCATGTTTAATTTTTCAATTTAAATTTTGCGATTTCCAATTTGTCCATTGTCGATTTTTAGAATTTTCGGTTTTTCAATTTTTCCATTCTCAACTGTTAGACTTCAATTTTGTTACTTTCCGATTTTTTGGTTTTCGATTTTCCAATTTTCAGAATTTCCAAGTTTCTTTATTCAGATTTTCGATTTTCCACTTTTTCGATTTTAGATTTTTCGAATTTTTGTTTTTCCAATTTTTTGCTTTTTCGATTTTTCTGTTCGTTTCAGTTTTTAGGCTTTTCAATTTTTTTTACTTTATATATTTTGATTATTTTAATTTCCGATTTTTTTATTTTTGTTTTTGATTTTTTTAATTTTCAATATTACAAGTTTTTGACTTTTCAATTTTTTGGTTTTCCCGTTTTTCAATTTTCGATTTTTGAGGTTTGTGAATTTCCACTTTTCGATCGACCTAGGTATTTGATTCATTGAATTTTCGATTTTTTGATTAGCCATTTTTAGATTTTCGATTTTTACGATTTGTATTTTTCGATTTTCTATTTTTTGCATTAGTGAATTTCAGTTTTTCCGATTTTTGATTTTGCGCATATTTGATTAATCAAATTTTCGAAAAAGTTACCATGCTTACAAAAACTTCAAAACATCTACAATATTTCAAAGTATTCAGTTTTGCTATTCTTGATTTCTTCAATAAAATAAATTGAATCAGTCATTAACTTTTTTGAGACACCCTGTATAACCAAATCTAAAAAATATTAATGCAGTGATAAATCACAAGTATAAAACTCATCATATTTTATACATTTAAGATAGGATTTATTCTGCAAAATTTTGAGGTGACGTCATAAATTTTTTAGAGGGGATAAGCAAATATATTTTAATTAAAAATGTATTATGTTTATCATGATTTTAAAACATCTGCAAGATTTCAAAGTATTCGATTTTGCAAATTCAAAATTAAATTGCAAAATATTGTTTTATAATTTTGATTTTTTTTCCAAAAATCTGGACGTTTCGGATAAAAACTCAACACGGAGTCATAAACTACATGTGTAGGACTATGTTACTGTATACAATTTAAAACCCATTTACTATGCATAAATTTGAAGTGACGTCATCACATTATTGGTGGGGATGATTAGACAAATTTAATAATTTTGCGACATTTATATACATATATACCAAATGTATATATAACTACTGTCCGTCCCGTTATTGTCAATAAAATTTTATAGGGTAAAATGTGAATTTCGTTGTAGTTTGAGCCTACCTACAAATTCTGCCCTTGGAGGATTTGGACCGCCTTCTTCGGTGAGGGCAGGCAAAAACGATTAGCCCATAGGCTCAAAACATTTGCGTGCGTACCTTTCTGTGGAGGTACAAATATAAGCAGTAGCCGGTTCCAGCGCCTGCTAAAACGAACAAAGCTAGGACAAACTTGAGGCTGTCTTTGTAAAATTGGAGCCCCACGGGCGTGGGGAACAGGATGCTTTTAACGAGGGCACCTTTCGTGGTGTTGAAGCCCGTGCAGACGACTCTAGCTAAGACCTGCTCGTCGCCATAATAGCGGCTCTGGATCATGTAGGTTCCGGAAAACAGAGTGTGTCTTTTGTGAGTGGACGGACTATAGACTTCGTTGCTTGAATGGAGGGATGTTTTGACCACTGGCACGCTCTCGCCTGTTTTGTTCATTTTAGTACAATAGTGTGCAACAATTCTGTGAATTTTAATACCTGTTAACATACTTTCGTTGACAATACACTGCCCAGTCAGTAATACTGCGTCACACGGCAGCACGAAATTGCTCTTTGGAAGCACTAAAAGGTCCCCAGGGACGAGTTCCTCGGGGTCGGCGTCTTGCACAATATTCTCTGATAAGAGATTCTGGCGCATGACCTTGACATCGTGGCACTTGGAAGATTCAACTAAGTCGTGCAAAGCTTCGCTTTGCTGCAATTTTTTTCGGTCAAGTTTAGTCAAAATTCCGTCGGTACTCACCTTTCGGGTTTGTCGAAGACTAGTAATCACAGAGAAGAGAGTCAATATTAAAACACAACAAGCGTAAATGTAATAGTCGTCCAAACACCACAGGATTATAGAGAATACTTGGAACACGTAAAATGGATTAAAAACTTCGTCAATGAAAAGCCTCCAGTAGCTCTTAACCTCGATTTCGATTTTATTAGGGCCGTACAACTTCAAGCTAGAAAATTTTGGGTGATTTTGAAAACCGTTTTTACGTACTGTGGCACAGTAAAATATTGTCGGTACACAGTAGGGGTGTTAAGCTTCTCCGCCTTCCGTCTGCGGATTGCCATAATTCCCTAAACACTCAGGTATATCTAACGTACACGTAACAATATTCAATTACAATTTATTTATGTTTAAAAATCGAAATTTTTGAAAAATCCTAAAACTTAAACAGAGTAATCGAGAAATTGAGTAAACGAAAACTCCAAAAATTTCGAAACGCCAAAAATTGAAAAATTAAATAATAATAATACATAAATCCCAAATCTGAAACGTCGAAAAATTGGAAACTCGAATAATCGAAAAACACAAATCGAAAAATGGAAATCGAAAAATTTTAACTTAAAAAACCCGATAAATCGATAATTGAAAAATCGAAATATCGAAAAACTGAAAAATTAATTCCGAAAAACTGAAAAATCGGAAAATCTAAAAACAAGAAGGCAAAATATCAAAATATTGAGAAATCGAAACAAAAAAAAAAGTGAAAAATTTAAAATTTGAAAATTCAAAAAATCGAGCAATCAAAACATCAACGAATCGAAAAATCAAAAAACTGAAAAATCCAAAAATGTAAAATTTAAAAATTCGCAAAGTTTTGAAAAATCGAGTAAGCAAAAACCAAAAAAAACCAGAAAGTCGAAAAATCTAAAAATTTGAAATTCAAAAAATACATATTGAAAATCTTAAATAAAAAAAATCTCAAACTTAAACATTGAAAATTTGAGAAACCGAGAAATCGGAAAGACGAAAAATCGAAAAGTCGAAAAATTAATAAATCGATTTAATCGTGAAACTGCGAAATCGAAAAATCCAAAAATTAAGAATCGCCAAAAATTGGAAAACTGAAAAATCAAAAAATTTAAATACATAAATCCCACAACAAAAACGTTGAAAAAATGTAAAATCGCGAAATCGAACATCAAAAGATCGAGAAGTCGAAAAATCGAAAAATTGTGAAATGAAAGTGTCTAAAAATCGAAAAATAGGAAAATTCAAAAGTGAAAAATTTGAACTTAAAAACCCGATAAACCGAAAAAGAGAAAAATCGAAAAATTGAAAAAACGCAAAATCGAAACATCAAAAAATCGAGAAGTCGAAAAATCTAAAAACTGAGATATCGAAATAGCAAATGGGAAAAATAAAAATTGAAAAATTTAAACTTAAAAAACCCGATAAATCGATAACTGGAAAGTCGAAATATCGAAAAACTGAAAAAATTACTTTGAAAAATTGAAAATCGAAAAATCTAATAACAAGAAGGCCAAATATCGAAAGACTGAGAAATCGACACAAAAAAAAGTGAAAAATCTTAAATTCAAAAATTCGAAAATTTGAAAATTTAAAAATTCGGCAATCAAAACATCAACAAATCGATAAATCAAAAAACCGAAAAATCGAAAAATGTAAGATTTAAAAAGTCGCAATATTTTGAAAAATCGAATAAGTAAAAAATAAAAAAAAAACAAATCTAAAAATTTAAAAATCGAAATATGTACATATTGAAAAATCTTAAAATAGAAAAAATCCCAAAACGTAAACATTGAAAATCTGGGAAATCCAGAAAACGCAAAAGACGAAAATTTGAAAGGTCTTGAGAAATCAAAAAATCCAAAAATTTAGAAACACCAAAAATTGGAAAATTGGAAAATCAAAAAATTTAAATATATAAATCCCACAACTGAAACGTTGAAAAATTGTAAAACCGAAAAATCCAAATGATGAATTATCGAAAAACTGAGAAAGAAATCAAGAAATCAAAATCGAAAAATTGAAAAATCGAGAAATCGACACATCAAAAGATCGAAAAATCGAAGAATTGAGAAATGGAAGTGGCTAAAAATCGAAAAATGGGAAAATTCGAAATTGAAACATTTAACTAAAAGACCTGATAAATCGAAAATTGAAAAACCGAAATATCGAAAAACTGAAAAATTGGAGAAGCAAAAAATCTAAAAACAATAAGGCAAAAAATCGAAAGACTGAGAAATCGAAACAAAAAAAAAATGCGAAAAATCTAAAATTTAAAAATTCCAGAAATTGAAAATTCAAAAAACTGAAAAATCGAAAAATGTAAGATTTAAAAAGTCTTAATATTTTGAAAATCGAATAAATAAAAAACCAAAAAAAAAAACAACAAGAAACTCGAAAAATGTAAAAAAAACGAACCACATTGGAAAATCTTAAAATTGAAAAATCTCAAAACTTAAACATTGAAAATTTGAGAAATCGACAAATCGCAAAGATGAAAAATCGAAAAGTCGAAAAATAAAAAAATTGATTAATCGAAAAACTGAGCAATTGAGAAATCGAAACTGAAAAATTGCGAAACCGAAACATCAAAAGATCGAGAAGTCGAAAAATCGAAAAATTGAGATATCGAAATAGGTAAAGATCGAAAAATGGGAAAATCCAAAACTGAAAAATTTAAACTTAGAAAACCCGATAAATCATAATTGAAAAAACGAAATATCGAAAAATTGAAAAATTAATTCCGAGAAATTGAAAAATCGGAAAATCCAAAAACGAGAAGGCAAAAATCGAAAGATTGAGAAATCGAAACAAAAAAATGAGAAAAATCTAAAATTTAAAAATTCGAGAAATCGAAAATTCAAAAAACTGAAAAATCGAAAAATGTAAGATTTAAAGACTCCCAATACTTTGAAAATCGAATAAGTAAAACATCAAAAAAAAAAGCAGAAAGTCGCAAAATCTAAAAATTTAAAAATCAAAATACATATTGAAAAATCTCGAAACATAAACATTGAAAATTTGAGAAATCGAGAAATCGGAAAGACGAAAAATCGAAAAGTCGAAAAATTAAAAAATCGATTAATCCAGAAATTTAGAAACGCCCAAAATTGAAAAATCGAAAAATTTAAATACATAAATCCCATAACAGAAAGTTGAAAAAATGTAAAATCGAAAAATCGAAAAGATGAGAAATCGAGAAATCGAGAAATGGAAATCGAAAAATTGAAAACTCGCGAAATCGAAACATCAAAAGGTCGAGAAGTCGAAAAATCGAAAAATTGAGAAATGTTAGTAGCTAAAAATCGAAAAATGGGAACATTAAAAAAAAATGAACTAAAAAAATTGATACACCGAAAAAGTGAAAAATCGGAAAATTAAAAAACCGTTTAATCGAGAAATTGCGAAAACGAAAAATCCAAAAATTTAGAACCGCCAAAAATTGAAAAAATTGAAAAATCGAAAAATTAAATTCGAGAAGACAAAATATCTAAAAATTGAGAAATCGAAACAAAAAAAAGGTGAAAAAACTAAAATTTAAAATTTCGAAAAATTGAAAATTCAAAAAATTCAGCAATCAAAACATCAACAAATCGAAAAATCAAAAAAATTTAAGATTGAAAAGTCGCAATATTTTGAAAAATCGAATTACCTAGTAAAAAATAAAAAAAAACAAAGTCGAAAAATCTAAAAATTTGAAAAATCGAAATACATTTTGAAAAATCTTAAAATTGAAAAAATCTCAACACTTAAACATTGAAAATTTGAGAAATCGAGAAATCGGAAAGATGAAAAATGGAAAAATTAAAAAATTGATTAATCGAAAAACTGATAAATCCAAAAATCCAAAAATTTAGAAACGCCAAAAATTAGAAAATCGAAAAGATGAATTATTTATCGAACAACTGAGAAATCGAGAAGTCGAAATCGGAAAATTAAAAAACCGATTAATTAAGAAATTGAAAAAACAAAAAATCCAAAAATTTAGAAATGCCAAAATTGGAAAATTGAAAAATCAAAAAATTTAAATGCATAAATCCCACAACAAAAACGTTGAAAAATGTAAAATCGAAAAATCGAAAAGATGAATTATTGAAAAACTGAGAAATCGAAATCGAAAAATTGAAAAATCGCTAATTCGAAACATCAAAAGATCGAGAAGTCGAAAAATCGAAAAATTGAGATATCGAAATAGCTAGAGATCGAAAAATGGGAAAATTAAAAATTGAAAAATTTAAACTAAAAAACCCGATAAATCGAAGATTGAAAAATTGAAATATCCAAAAACTGAAAAATCTAAAATTTAAACATTCGAAAAATTGAAAATTCAAAAAATCGAGCTATAAAAACATCAACAAATCGAAAAATCAAAAAACTGAAAAATCGAAAAATGTAGAATTTAAAAAGTCGCAATATTTAGAAAAATAGAATAATTAAAAAATCAAAAAAAAAAAGAAAAAAACAGAAAGTCCAAAAATCTAAAAATTGAGAAATGGAAGTGGCTAAAAATCGAAATTAAAATTCAAAAGTCAAAAATTTGAACTTAAAAAACCGTTAAACCCAAAAAGTGAAAAATCGGAAAATTAAAAAAGCGATTAATCGAGAAATTGAGAAAACGAAAAATCCAAAAATTTAGAAAGGCCAAAAATTGAAAAATCGAAAAATTGAAATACATAAATCCCAAAATTGGAACGTCGAAAAACTGGAAACTCGAATAATAGAAAAGACGAAAAACAGAAATCGCGAAATGGAAATCAAAAAATTGAAAAAACGCGTAATCGAAACATCAAAAGATCGATATGTCGAGAAGACGAAAAATCAAAAAATAGAGATATCGAAATAGTTAAAGATCGAAAAATGGGAAAATTGAAGATTGAAAAATTTAAACTTAAAAAGCCCGATAAATCGAAAATTGAAAAATTAATTCCGAAAAATCTAAAAACGAGAAGGCAAAATATCGAAAGACTGAGTAATCGAAACAAAAAAAAAAGTGGAAGATTAAAAAAGTCCTATTTGATTAATTAACCGTTTTTAAAACATTTTCAAAAACCGGGTAAGTAAAAAATCGCAAAAAACAGAAAGTCGAAAAATTTAAAAATTGAAATACATATTGAGAAATCTCAAAACTTAAACATTGAAAATTTGAGAAATCGAGAAATCGGAAAGACGAAAAATCGAAAAGTCTTGAGAAATCGAAAAATC